TAGCTTTCCTTGGTGGGGAAAAAATTTTTTTTAAATTTAACTTGTTGATTTAGAAAATACAGTGTGCTAAATTATATGTAATGTTTCTTTAATAATTATTCATCTGCCATTTGTTTTCAATGATCGTCTTTTATATAAAGTTTAGCATAAAATCAAGTAAACAGAGGATCTAATTAATAAATTTCTTGTATTATTTGAATGGGCTGACTAAATCAAACTTTATTTTTCTTAAAGTCTACCTTTCTCTTGTTTAAATGGAGGATGATAAAAATATAGTAAAATGTAAAAAATACATTTTGATAATTGTCTTAATCAGACGTCTGATATTTGGGACATATCTTTATTGTCGCTACTCCATTGTCCACCTCCATTACCATAAAGATATATCTTCGTCTTTCCTTCTAAGTCTTATTTCAGCACGATTGTTATCTGGCTAAATTAGTGTTTTTATAAAATAATTATTTCTTGTGTATACATGTAATTGCCTTTTTTATGCCTTAGCTGATGTGTTCTGTCTTGTTTTTGATCCAAAATGCCTATGCTTGCCTGTGTGAGGCTGGCTGAATTTTGCATAAATTTGGAGTGCTTTTATATGGAAATGATCCTTTTCATGATTATAACAGTAGATACAACAGTCTAGTTTCTCATTGGCCCTTTATCTCAAATGTGTTCTCGCTATTAGGAAGATCTTAAGGAGATTGAATCAGTAATTTAAAACCACTCAATAAACCAAAAAAAAGAAAAACAACAAACCCCAAAAGTCCAGTTCCAGACAGCTTCACTGGTGAATTCTGTCAAACATTCAAAGAAAAATTAATATCATTCTCAAACTCTTCCAAAAAATAGAGGAGGAAACACTTACAAAATTTTACGAGGCCAATGTTACCCTGATACCAAAACCAGAAAAGGACACCATGAAAAAAGAAAATAACAGAACAATATCCCTGAAGAACATAGATTCAAAACTCCTCGACAAAATATTAGCAAACCAAAGTCAACAATATATTAAAAAGATCATACACCATGATCAAGTGAGATTTATTCCTGGGATGCAAGGTGGTATAATATCCACAAATCAATTAATGTGATTTGCCACACTAACAAAATGAAGGATAAAAATCTATGATCATCTCAGTAAATGCAGAAAAAGTATTTGACAAAATTCAACATCCATTTATGATTTAAAAAACCTCTCAACAAAACAAGTATAGAAGGGACATCCTTTAACATAATAAAGACCACGTATTACAAGCCCACAAGTAACAACATACTAGACAGTTATAAGCTGAAAGCTTTTCCTTTAAGATTAGAACCAAGACAAGGATGCTCACTCTGGCCAATTTCATTCAACATAGTATTAGAAATGCTAATCAGAGCAGTTAGTCAAGGGGAAAAAAAGTCCTTTAAATTGGAAAGGAAGAAGTAAAACTGCCACTCTTGGCAGATGACATTATATTATATATAGAAAACCCTAAAAACTCCACCAAAAACTGTTGAAACTAATAAATGACTTCAGTAAAATTGCAGGATACAAAAATCAGTATACAGAAATCTGTTGCATGTGTGTACGCTAATAATGAACTATCAGAAAGAGAATTTAAGAAAATAATCCCCATTTTAAATTTTCATCAAAAAGAATAGAATACCTTGGAATAAATTTAACCAAGGAGATAAAAGACCTATACACTAAAATCTGTAAGACATTGATGAAACAAATTGAAGAAGACACAAACAAATGGAAAGCTCAACCATGCTCATGAGCTGAAAGAATTAATATTGTTAAAATGTCCACACTACCCAAAACAGTCTACATGTTCAGTGTAATTCTTATCAAAATTGCAATGGCATTTTTTAACAGAAGTAGAACAAACAATACTAAAATTTGTATAGGACCACAAAAGACCCCAAATAGCCAAAGCAATCTTGAGAAAGAAGAACAAGCTCAAGGCATCATGTGCTCTGGTCGCAAACTATTTTACGAAGCTCTAGTCATCAAAACAGTATGGTATTGGCAGACTAACAGACACATAGATCAGTGGAACAGAATAGAGAGCACAGAAACAAACTCATGCCTATATGGTCAATTAATTTACAATAAAGGAGCCAAGAACATATAGTCTCTTCAATAAACAGTGTTGGGAAAACTGGATAGCCCCATGCATTACAATGAAACTGGACCATTATCTTACACCATACATAAAAATTAACTCAAAATGGATTAAAGATTTGAATGTGAGACCTGAAACCATATAACTCCTAGGAAAAAACATAGGTGGTAATCTCCTTAGAATAGGTCTTGGTGATGATTTTTTGGATTTGACACCAAAAGCAAAGACAAAATTAAAAATAAGCAAGTGGTACTACATCAGACTAAAAAGTTTCTGCACAGCAAAAGAAGCCATCAACAAAATGAGAAGGCAACCTGCTAAATGGGAGAAAATATTTATAAACTACATATCTGATAAGGGGTTAATATCCAGAATATATAAAGAGCTCTTACAACTCAGTAGCAAAAAAACAAAGTCTCATTAGAAAAAGTGGGCAGAGGACCTGAATAGACATTTTTCCAAAGAAACAGGCACATGAAAAGCTGCTTAACATCATTAACCATAGGAAATTATATATCAAAATCTCACTGAGATATCTCCCACCTGTTAGAATGGCTATTATCAAAAAGATAAGAGATAACAAGTGCTGGTGAGGATATGGAGAAAAGGGAACCCTTGTGCACTGTTGGTGGGAATGTTAATTGGTGCAGCCACTATGGAAAACAGCATGGAATTTCCTCAAAAGGCTGAAAATAGAACTACTGTGAAATTCAGCAAATCCAGCTACCATGAAACTTCTGGGTATTTATTTGAGGAAATGAAAACACTAACTTGAAAATGTATTTGCCACTTGTATGTTCATTGCAGCATTATTTACAATGGACAAAATATGGAACAACCTAAGTGTCCAGCAAGGGATGGATAAAGAAAATGTGTGGTATATCTATACAATGGAATATTATTCAGCCATTAAGAAGAATGAAGTCTTGCCACTTGTAACAATGTGGATGGACCTTGAGGGCATTATGCTAAGTGAAATAAGTCAGAGAGACAGATACCATATAATTTAATTTATATATGGAATCTAAAAAAAACAAAAACAAAACACAAGCTTGTACATGCAGAGAACAGATTGTGGTTGGTCAGGAGGTAGGGTGGTGGGCAAAATGAATGAAGGGAATCAAAAGGTACAAACTTTTCATTATTACATAAGTAAGTTACGAGAATGTTATGTCCATTATGGTGAGTATAGTTAATAGTACTATATTGCATATTTGAAAGCTGCTGAGAGAAGTTCTTAAAAATGCTCACTCTCATGAAAAAAAATTATAACTGTGTATGGTAATGGATGTTAACTAGATTTGTGTTGATCATTTTGCAATATATACATTGTTGTATACCTGAAACTAATATAATGTATGTTAAGTATACCTCAATTTAAGAAAAGATCTTACCATCTTTAACAGCGTTCTTAGCTGTTAAGGTGAATTTAATCAGATTTATTCATTCTGCCGTTACTGCTTCTCTTCCCCCTTATCTTGTTTTTGTTAGCCTCCAAATTATCACTCAATTATTTTAATTTTATCTTGTGATTGGAAATATTGTGAACTGTGTGGTAACAATTTTCATTTCATAAGGAATGAAACACATAGATTAATTGACTCCTGAGTAGCAGTTACACACTTCTATATAAATTACTCCCTTGACTATTTTGGCAAAAGCAAGTGAGGAACTCTCCACTTGTCTCAGATTTGCATTTAATCATCCATCTATTTAATGCTACTTACAAGCAATTATTTATCATCTCACTACTTTTACTTATTCATGTCACATTGTATGAGGGAAATCTTATATGCTCATTCAGTATGTTGTCTCTTAACTCAGTTTATATATAGACAATGAAAATCTCAAAATGCTTCTTTTCTACCCTCATTTTGCTTATAATTTCTCCAGGTATTCTTTTCTGGATTTGAAATACTTTTCCCTCAGAATTTTGAAGACACCACTCTATTTTATCCTAGTTTATGCTTTTGCAGTAGGAGATTAAATGCCATAACTTATTTTTAATCTATATATATAAATAAATTTAGGGTCTCCCTTTGTCTTGAAGGTTTTAAAATTTTATAATAGCATACTTTAGTCTGGGTCTATTCATACACTCTGGATCCTTTCATATTAGAAAATCATGATTTTGGGTTATGGGAATCTTGCACTATTTATTTATTTGTTTGTTTGATAATTTCCTCCCTCTTTTGTCTCAGGTCTTCCTTTCTGGAGATATTATTCAGATGTTGAATTTCCTGGATTGATGCTCCAGTTTACTTAACTTTTATTTTTTTGTGTGCAATTTTTTTTAGTTTTTAATAGTTTTTATTATATATTTTTACTGAAGTATAGTCACTTTACAATGTTGTGTCAATTTCTGGTGTATGTCATACATGAACATACATATTCATTTTCATATTATTTTTCATCATAAGTTACTACAAGATATTGAATATAGTTCCCTGTGCTATACAGTATGAACTTGTTGTTTATCTATTTTATATGTATTGGTTAGTATCTGCAAATCTCAAACTCCCAATTTATCCCTTCCCACCTCCTTCCCCCCCTGGTAACCATAAGTTTGTTTTCTATGTCTGTGAGTCTGTTTCTGTTTTGTAAATAAGTTCATTTGTCTTTTTTTTTTTTTAAGATTCCATATATAAGTGATATCATATGATATTTTTCTTTCTCTTTCTGGCTTACTTCACTTAGAGTGACAATCTCCAGGCCCATCCGTTTTGCTGCAAATGGCATTATTTTATTCTTTTTTTATGGCTGAGTAGTATTCTAGTGTATAAATATACCACAACTTCTTTATCCAGTCATCTGTTGACAATTAGGTTGTTTCCATGTCTCAGCTATTGTAAATAGTGCTGCTATGAACACTGGGGTGCATGTATCTTTTTGAATTAAGGTTCCCTCTGGATATATGCCCAGGAGTGGGACTGCTGGATCATATGGTAAGTCTATTTTTAGTCTTTTAAGGAATTCCTGTACTGTTTTCCAGAAGAGCTGCACCAAACTACTACTTAACTTTTCCATATCTATGTTTTGATAGATACTACGTGAGGTTTCCTAATCTTCATTTCAGTTCACCTACTGACATTTTTAATGTAATCATATTTTCAGAGTTCCTTATTGTTACTCCCTTTTTGTAGCAACATGTTCTTTTATTATTGATGTAATGCACTTTTTATAAAGCTGAGAGGATTAATAAGGTTTTCTTTTTTAAGTTTTAGAATTTCCTTCCATGTAATGTTTCTTCTAAGTGGCTTTTCTCTATGTATTTGTTTTGTTTTCAGTCTTTGATGTTAGAGGCTTTCTTCGTGTATCTATTGACCCTAATTAGTGGCTTATATATAAGAGAATGCAATTCTCTAAAAGCTGGTTGGAAGCTATGTATGTATGGGTACCTCTTGTCACCAGTGGGCCTTGCTGTAGGATAATATTGCAGGGCTGTTTGGTCACTGAGAAACTTCCAGTATCCCCATCTTTAGGTATTTTGTTTGTTTTTGACTTGGTCAAATTCCTGAGTAAAGAAGGCATAAGGCAGGCTGCATTGAGTTCTGGAAGCCATGGGGATGGGAGGTAGAGTCAATATCCAGCGTAAATGCTCAGTGAATGTTTGTAGTAGGTGGTACCCCTGCCCCTCTCTCTGCTTGGTGTCCTGCAGTCCCTCACCTTGATTGTAAACAATGAAAATAAGGAAGGCATCTCAGTGACATTATGTTGGATTTACTCTTATAGTCTGCTGCAGGGGTGGGGAAGAAATGCTACCAGCCTGTATGGAATGGGAAGGATAGCTGAAACTTGAACTACTTCTGAAACAGGTTTTCAGCCTCCATCTCTTTTCAGTACTCCTGCACTCCCACTTCTAAAGGGAACTGGTGGTGTCACTGCAGTTTGGGGGGGTAAGTGGCAGGATTATTTTGCTTCTTGACTTCTCCCTACCTTTGGCTTAGGAATTGGCATTCTCAGCTTTATTAAATCAGTTACTGCTTCTGTTAGTAGGTTTTTATTACTAGTGTCTTTTTCTTTTATATTGTTCTTTTTTTAAAGCCCCTTTTCTTGTTCTTGTAGTGGAATTTTGTAATTAAAATACTCTATAATCTACCCTTTTCAATAAAAATTATATTTTAACAATCTTTCCTGTCAATAAATATCAACATTTTAGTAACTACATAGGAGTCTTTTTTTTAGAGATCTAACTTCTCCCCTACTGTTGTAAACATGGGTTGTTGTAAGCAGTATTACAAAGAATCTCCTTCTGGCTAAATTTTATATCAGTATTTTATTTAAATAAATTTAAAATGTGAGAAAATAATGAATCCTCTCTTAAAATGTTTCTTACAAAATGACATCTTATTTCCATTAGTGTGAGGGTGTTTCTTTTCTACTGCAGACCATTTGGTGTGAACAGTCTAACCTTTTCCCAGCAGATGGTAAACTCTGTGTATGTTTAGTTCATTCTTCTTACCCAGCTGGACCTGGAACAGGGTAGGTACCCAATATGTATTTGCTAAGTAGACATGTGAGTAATAAATGAATTTTCATTTTTTGTTTTAAAAACTTCAAGGAGCAGGGGCCTGGTATGGAAGGAAGCAGGATGTAATACATATTAAATATCTTACTTTCATCACTTTGAGTTACTCTGAGGTAACTCAGGTCATAAAGTTTGTAAGATTGAGAGCCAGATTTAAAAGAAGGAAGCCCCGTGTGGCAGGGTGATATATAGTCATACCAACAGCCACTGCACCTGGAGAACAGGCAGTGCTGAGGCATTTGTGCAGGCAAACTCCTAACAGATTTGGCCTTTGGGAATTTAACTTAAGGATGAGCACCCTATTTTGTAGAGATTATTATCTCCTGTTGGGATTAATTGTGTGGTTGGATTAAATAAATAATATTTGCTTAATATAGTAACAGGTTTCTCAGTGGAATCTGCACATGATCTGTCCCAGAATCACATGAGATCTTGCTGAATATGCACTTCCCTTGGCTCACCTGAGACCTATGGAATCAGAATCACTGTGGGTGGCCCGGGATTCTGAACATAACAAGCTCTTCATATGCACATTACAACCAGAATGTCTGCTGTAGACTTAAATACTGTTGGAGGAAGTTGTTGGAGAAAGTTAGGTGCACGTCTTATATAAATTTGGAGAATCTAATGAGACATTAGAATTAATAATTGGGAAATTCTGATAAATCGATCTAACATATTTTACTGCTTTTTCCTTCAATTATTACTCTAAGAATTCAGCTGATTGGCAACACACAGAAAGTCAGGAAAATTCATCACAGATCTTTTTCTTAACTCCTCATTCTCTGATATAACCAACAATTGGAGGCACTCATTTGTAGTTAAAAAAGTAACAAATGGTACACTGTACACATCTATTGTCTATATTGCAGTTCTGATCAAGAATTTGTTTTTTAATCTGACATCTTTTAGATGACATTTTTGTTGCAATTTTATTTAACTGTAGACAAACTGGATGTGTTGAGATTTTAAATCAAACATTGCTCAGGGTGACAGATTTATACAGTGACATAGCCTGTATGAAAGCTCTTAACAACGATGCCTGAAACCTAATAGGTGTCAGTCAACACATGCTTCTTTCTTGAGCATCATTACTTTCCAAAAGTGGTGGTAAAGAAGAAAATACGAAAATTATCTGAGTGATATGTCAACCTGTGTTAACGAAACATTGTCATAACTATTGAAAAGGTAAAAAAATTGGATTTTTCCGGGAATACTGTCTAACATTTATCAAGTATTCTTATGTAACATGCACACTCTGAGCCTTGACGTGAGGTAAGTGCTTATAATTATCTCCATTTTAATGATAAGAAAATGAAGCACAGTGAGATTATAAAGTTATTCAATGTCAACTAACTGGTAGATAGTAAACCTTGCTTTGAACCCAGAAAAATCTATTTCTAGACATCATGTCTACTAGCGTGTCTTCCATTGAAGATGTAGAACCATCGCTACCATGGTAGGTAGTCACTTGTGCTCGTAAAAACTGATGAGGACGATGTATCTTTTGAAATATATCTTGATAACTTAGTTTTCATCTTCTGACTCAATTTTGCAGATTAAGTATTTCTAAAGATTTCTTTTAAAAATACATGATATACCTAAAGTAAAGAGACCAGTAGAAAGTTTTAGGGCCCAAACAACCTGAGTTTAAATGCTTGCTTCATGGTTTATCAACTGTGTGCAGAGCACTTAAACTTTGAGTCTTAATTTTCTCATCTGAAAATGGGAATGATAATATTTACCCATAGTATTACCATACACAGTAGAGATAATCTGTATAATAGTGTCTCTTTGAATTCCTTGATCTCAATCAAATACTGTGTATGATAACTTAATATATAAACCATTATTCTGAAAACATTATGAAAATTTCTATATGAGGTATATATGTAGAAGGTATATTTTTTAACATATCGAAACATCAGAATACGTTTTCTGTTTCAATCTTTTAAGTATCATGAATGCTTAATGTTTTGTTTAATATAATACTTTGGACAGAAGACTGAATGGGCTATGCCACAGATTCTTAAATTAGACTTACTCTTTCTCCTTTTCAGCAAACTTCCTTGATAACATGCTTTTGCGAAGTTCAGGAAAATTAAATGTGGGCACCAAGAAGGAGGATGGTGAGAATACAGCCCCCACCCCTCGTCCAAAGATTTTGCGATGTAAGTGCCACCACCATTGTCCAGAAGACTCGGTCAACAATATTTGCAGGTTGGTCATATACATTTTTTAAATCTCGTTTTAACAGAAAGTCATCCTTTTTGACTACAGAATTGTAGGCTGGTGTTTCCAAGAACACAGTTGGGGGATTGTGCCTAACCCCATTAACTCAGAGCTGTGCCTGTATGTAGAAAAGGAAGGACTGAATAACATTTTGCCCTGAAATGATGTTCTGAGATTTTTCTTCCTCCAGACATCACTTGTGCATGTGAATATAGAGCACGGATCCAAGGAGCAAGAATCAATTACTTTTTTTTTCAAAAGATCTTGCCCCCTCCTGCCAAAATAAATGCAACAGCAGGTGGTGTCAAATGTGTGTGGGGTTTTTGTTTGTTTGTTTTAACCATTTATGCTGATGGTGTTAGTGCTTTGGAAAGAACACCGAAGCTGTTAGGAATATTCATAAACCGACTCTGGGAAGTGGTGTGGCCATAGAGCTCATGTGAGTCCCCCAGATGTTCAGAAAGACGTCAAAGTACTAGAGAATAAACCCCTTAGTAGATAATCATGTTTGTATAAATGCTTTCTAATGTTTGAAACTGGACTATTTGCCTCTTTCTTCCTTGTACATCTTTATGCAGCCACACCGATTTTGCTGGTCACTACCCCTGCATTTACTCCCCAGGGTGAGGACAGCGGTGGATAAAGAGGCATAGCCTCATGAGGCCAGAGTGTGCCCAGGGAGGAGTCGCTGGGTTACCCTGACATGTGTGGATCTCAGGAGTTAAAATGTCAGCAAAGCAGAGTCTCCCTGAAGGAGGGTAATACCCAAATAGATGGGCTGCTAGGTTTGAAGTCTAGGCAGAGTATCCCAGCAACCATTAGGAAGGAGCATGAAGCTGAGAGCCGAGTTGAAGATGTTTTTTTTTCCATTCTGAGACTTTTTTTTAAGCTTCATATTAAGGAGACTCTAATGTAAGCTTACCAGTGTATCCTGTAATATGTATTTCAAGAAATATGTATTAACTGAGCAATGCAAGGAGGAAATTGAGATATATTCATAAATATGTCTCATTTAATAAGCACAGCAACTCAGCATGGTAGGGAATGCTTATTTCTTACTCTTAAATGTAAGAAATTCAGGGCCCAGAGAGGTCTAGTAACTTGGCTTTTATACGACAGGACAGAGTTGCAATCTGTGAGTCTTATGCCAAGGTAAAATGATTCCAGAGCTCAGACAGTATTTCCTGGGGAACACTACCTCTTTGTGGTAAACAGAAAAAGTATCAGGAGAATTACAAAGCTTTCTGAAGAAGGGAAAATTAGCAGGAGGAGGCATATTTAAGGAGGTATTTTACTACTTTGACTGAGTCCGTAGTAATTAAGAATAAATCTTTGCGTGCCCTTCCCTTTGAGCAATAATTCTGGTAATTATATGTTCAGGTTTTCCAAAATTATCCCAATTTCAAATATTTTGTCCTATTTTCCCAAAGGCCATTGACATGTCCTAAGTTGATTTGGGAGAAGGTGTTCAGGCATGGTTAACCCAGTGCACATTGTCTGTGGTGAGAAGGGGAAGCTTGGCAGGTAGGCGGAGACATGGGAGGACTTGAGCTTGGAGATGGGAAATATTACTGTGGTCTGAAGGGCATGCTTAAGTAGGAGTGGCAGTGGAGATTGGCATGATTTGATTTGCCTTTTTGAAAAATGTTCTCTGCTACAGAGTATTGAATGTATTAGAGGGAAACAAAGTGAATTCAAGCACAAAAGCAGCCAGGTGATAGAAACTGAAAAGTTGATTCAGGAAGGACAGTGTATGTGAGAGAAAATGATCTTGGACTGTGGTGATGTTGGTGCAGGTGAGAGTTGAATGTTTTGGAGAAGTATTTTGAAGGAAAGTTTTATGTTGATGAAATGGCTATGGGAGGGGGCCAAGAGGGACTTCACCAGCTGGTGTGTGTGCATTTAGGTGCATCTCGTAGCCTCTTGATGAAAGACTACAGAGAAAAATAATCAAGTTTCAATCTGGACATGTTGAGTTTAAGGTTTCTGACACATCCAAATGGAGATCTCAAAGAGTAAGCAGTAGAATGGGTTTGGAGCTCAGATAAGAGGTTAGGAAGAATAAATATAGCATGAGTAGAAAATGAGTCAGTTTTTGATATGAAATAAGCAACCTCAAAATCACAGTGGCTTACAAATAAAAGCGTGTATTATTTCATTGCTGGGTTTACAGGTGGGCTGCAGCTGTGCTGGGCTTTGCTGGACTAGGTGGGCTTGGCTTTAGGCTACTGCTTGGGTTCAGACCTGCTCCTAATGTTTCTCATTCTTCTTGGACCTGCAGCTGCTCATATGAGTTTGAGGGAGCAACCTCTTGCAGCTTCTGCTTGTGTCCTGTCCTCTAACATTGTATTTACCAAAACTAGGGACATCCTCAAGCCCAAAGCCAGAGGTAAGCCATGTTTAGGATGTGGCATGAACACTCGAGAACAACAGTAGACCAATCCAATCTACCAGAGTAGGACTGGGCCTGGAGACATGTGATGTTTGAGTAAAGCGGGCTCTCCCCAGGAGACTGGGAATTAGCAGCAAAGCAGTGAAGGTGGTGTCATCAAAGCCAGGTTTCCAGAGGGAGGAAGTAAGGTCAGCCATATTAGATGTTATTAGGAGAAGGACTGAGACGCAACAGTGAGATTTATTGACCTTGATAACTGCAGTTTAGAAATAGTTAATGTGGAAGGAGATAGGGAAGCCAGATTGGAATGGTTTGTGAATTATGTGGTTTCCAGCCTTTGACTTCTGATAGCAAAGAAAAATGAAACAGAAATAGCAATCGGTAGCAATGGAGCTCCTCCAAAAAAAGTGAGTATACTGTGATAGTCAGCGTCCTCAGTTAACACCTAGAAGTCAACAGAAGACTAATACAGAGCTTTTATACTACCAGCACGTTTACTTCCACCTAGCTCTGATCATCACAGCATTCCTCTACAGAACATAGCATTATCTGTTTTCCAGGTGAGAAATCTGAGACCCTGAGAGGTTAAGTAATTTTCACTAGGTCACTCATTTTTCATGCGCAAATGACTGAAAAAAAAATTGTGGCCAAGTTTCCAAAGTCCTGAATTTTTGACCAGAAGCTAACTCTTGGCAATCAAAGGAGCAGAAATATTCACTCTTACGTAAAATGCACATCCATTTTGCTAAGGAGTTGTTGGCTCCAGTTGAATCTGAGAGTTGAGATCAATCATGTCTGAATCACAGGACCTACTTTTGTTCCTGTGCCCTAAGACCTAAAACAGATCAGGCCTTTCTGCCTTCATTCCTGTGAGCCCTTCGAGTCAGTCCTTCTCACGCTGTCTCTCGTCAAAGCCTTCCCCCTCAGTAAGCTGTGCTCCGGTACGCTCTAAAGTACAGTCAAAATGAGTTACTGGAAAAGTTAATTTAAAAATAATTGCAAATTGTCTGCTGTGTTTTTCTCTTGTCTATTAATTAGATTCAACAGAGCTAAATTTATTGCTGTACAAGTTTCAATTTCTATATTAATGTACTCACAGACCAGTAACAAGTGGTTTGCAAGGGAACAAGCACACTTTGAGAAATGTCACACTAAATCTTGCACTCACAGGTAAAACAATTCTAAGACAAGGTGTGCTTGCTTGAGACGTACATAACGGCTGGTCAAAGCTATCTGCCCTGAGGCCTTGTACCAGGCAGATCTTAGCCAAGCTGGGTGCTCCAGGATGGTCTCATGCTCATTACCACTTCCATGTGCCTGCAGAGAATAATCCAAAAAGTGGCCCAAATCAAAAGTGCATCATACTTAGAAGAGATTCTGAAATCCCACATGATAATTCAGTGCATGTGCAAAGTATAGAGGGTTTTTTTTTTAACTCTTCATAAGTACCATCAATCACTTTACCAGCCAACGCCAAGGCCAAAGTCATTCTTGGCCTTGATTCCTATCAGGTATAGTGTGTCTGCTTCCAAAATTTATGCCATTTACGTTGCCTAATGGCATGCGAGTTAGAGGATGTAGTGCAAATATATCATGCTGAGTACAGTATTAGAACCATTTTTTAATACCCATAATTCAAAGCCTGGGTGAAACCAGTGTCCTGTCTCCCTCAATATAACATCTGTCTTCTGAATACCTTTCCAGGTATTACACTGCGTTGTTTATCCTTCTTACTCCATTTCCACATTCTATTCCTGGGACCTCAGACTGTCACTACATGCCTTGAACACAGCAAAGTCTCCTTAATTAACTCTTTTTATATGACTTTCACCATGCCAGTGTTCTGTCTGATTTTCCTGTCCCAGTAGGCATGATCTCGGCCCTGTTTATTTTTTTCTCTGTATAATCTGGTCCCGCTTCATGTGTCCTCCCTTGTTTTTCTTGACATGATCTGTGATAGTCATTTATGTCCCTCTCTTGCCACATCCCTCGAGTTCTTCTGCTCTCTCACACAAGTCTATCCAGTTCTAAAAAAATTATTTTTTTCACTCTTTTTCAAGGTAATTTAAAATATTTTCTCATTTATCTTACTGGATTCTGACCAAAAATTCTATCTGGGCAGTTTTCACAGTTTATAGGTATAATAAATCACATCGAATGTTTGCACAAAGGCTGTGCAAACGACACCAGGCTGCCTAAAGGAGGAATGAGATAAGTCTCCACTGTATCTGGAAGAGAGAGAGGGCCGAAGGGAAAGCTTAGGGGCTTAATAGAAAGTAAACAGTGTAGGGCTCATTACAGTCATACATAGAGAACCATTGAAGACTTTTGAGCAGGGTGGAAACTGTAAGGTTTATCAGGCAGTGCTGTACAGAGCCCTTATACAAAGTTTGTATTAACCCAGAGCTTCTAAACTCTTGCAGAATGTGGTGGTGTGAGTTTTCAGAGAGGTGCTCCTGACCCAGGTCTCAGAATGTTTAAAGTGTGCCTTGTTCTCATTCGTGTGTACATCTTCCATTCATCCAGTTCATTTTACTGAGCTTTATGACCTTTTTTTTCCCAGTAGAAGATGTTGAATTAAAACCATTTCACTTACGAGAATGGCAAGCCCTTCTTCAGAACTTATAATTTAGTTGCAAGAGGACATAGTTTCAAATTCACTCATGAAGTATCTTCTAAGGAATAACTCTACTTTCATGCCCCTCAGTCATAAATGAGACTTAAATGGGCCCATTTGTTGTTGGACTTAATAGAAAGTGAGGTGCAGGGCTCTTTACAATTACACATAGGCACCACTGAAGATACTTGAGCTGGAAGGAAGACGTCAGATTTCTTGGGCAGTGCTGTACGGAATGGGTCGGTCTAGAGAGGAGTGGGGGCGGCCTGCCAGAAGGACTTCAGGGCAGTCTCGGTGAGAGGAAGGGAGGGTCTGCACAGGGTGGTGGGGGTGAGAATATGCAGATGATTGTTTAATATAGAAATTGAGACAAATTCAAAAACTCTTGGACCTCAAAGGAGAAAAGGGAACAAAACGCTAAACCACTTGGCATGGCTTCCAGGGAAGAATGTATGATAGCTAGACTTCCCTGAGGAGGGAGTAACAAGGCCTGTGTCACACTGCAACTTTATCATTAGGGCCGTGACTCTCAGAGGAAAGGCCGGAGAGAGGGAGCAGTGACAGTCTTATCTGTCTGACCCTCTTCCTCTACCTCTTGGGAATCCACCCACCTAAGAAGATAAAGGAGAATGTATATAAACCTTAGGATTCTGTTACTCTAGGAATTAAATTTTTTTTTGAAAATTAAATAGAAATTTAATAGAACTTGGCTCAACATTCTTCTCTGCTTTTTTCCCATCAGTAGAAAGGACTTGGTTAGCTGATGCTTTCTGTCCCTACTGCGTGAAGTTGAATGACTTCGTCTTTCCTAGGATTGATGGCCTTTAGGGACTTTGAGCTCATCAAAAGCAAAGGCTGCATCGTCCTCACCCTTGCTTCTCAGCTCGTAACTCTATCTGAGGCATAATGTGCTTCATAAATGCAGAATTAACTACTGTTAGCAAAGCTCTAAGCAGCTTTCAGCTCTTTTAGTTAACTGACTAAGATCTACATGATTTAAATAGCAAGTCTAGAAGTTGTGTGTATCTTTGAGTTTCCCTGTGACAGAAAACATTGAAAACTTTGTTAACTCCCTTCAGTGGGAAATAGATATTTTAGAAGACAATGTTCTCAAGGACCTATTTACAACTGACCTAAAACAAGCAGCCTTTTCAAATAGATTCTGAGTGACACTTAAATTTGAAAGAAATTTAAGAATTCTAGAGTTTCTCACATACTGAAAAAAAAATGGAATACATAATTCAATTCATTTTGTTTGGAATAAATAAATGATCAGTATAGAGGGCTATTAATCCCTGTGAGCAGATGCACTTGAGCAAAGAATCCATTTATATAATCAGTTTTTGTCAAGAGCAGAATTTTAAACTATTTAATAATTAAATAATAATTTTTGAGTTACTTAATAACTGTAAAGTTATTTTAATAATGCTTTAAAATTTCCTATCACCTGGGTTGAACAGAGCAGATACACTTTTTATTTTAAAAGTATTAATACTTTAAAAATCATTTTATAGTTAAATTAATCTTTATAAAGATCTAAACCATTAAAAGAAAACTTCTACAATAGTCCCTTCTCAACTACGGTAGTTACCCTGGGATTTACAATAAAGAAACGTGAGATCTTAGTGGAAGAACAGAGGTAAAAGGACCGAGACTTGGATAAACCTTATACACACTGTACTCACTAAAATAAAGCAATAAATAAAGCCCCTTCAGTAAAGATGCTGTCAGAGCAATTTTAGACATACTATGAAATTGGTTTCTAACCATTCCATAAGAACTGGTGAGTGAGTTAAGGTCCAGAAGGCCATTTTTAAATCCATTTGACCCAGATGAAGCAAAGCTTTCGATTTCTGGATACACACCCATCTGAAGAGTATCATTTGGTCCCTCTAAACATTACAGTAGGTAAATCTCTTTCTGAAAATCTTTTGAAGTAGTTTGTCCCCTGATCATCTTGGTATGCAACTGTTCTGTCTTGTCAATTTTTTTTTTTAACCTATAAGACAGGGCAGCATTTTTGGAATGTTACGTCAATTGTCTTCTTCTTTTAATTGAAGTATAGTTGATTAACAATGTTACGTTAGTTTTAGGTGTATGGCATAATGGTCCAGTATTTTTTAGATCATACTCCATTTAAAGTAATTATAAAATAAATAATGGCTGCATCCCCCTGAGCTGTGCTATGTATCCTTAGTAGCTTATTTTATATGGTAGTTTGTACCTCTTGGTCCCCCATCCCTGTCTTGCCTCTCCCCCCTTGTCAGTTGTCTTCTTTTAAAATTCATAATCATTATTGTAATCAAATTCATCCTACATTCATGTATACGTCTCAATGCTTTCAATTTTGTTGACAATTATTTCACTTTTTGTTTCCTTTACGATTCTTCATCTCTTCTTGTTATCACTGCCAACACTCTGGGAATGAGGGGGTAATAATCTATATAAAACATTGAAAACCTAAGTTTAAATAGGGTAACCAGCTGCAGAATGCTCAAATGAGAGTTAAATGCCTGTTGTGACATTCAGCAGTCGCCTTCGGTGGTGGGTGACATTGATCAGCTTTGACTCCAGAGAGCACTTGTGTTTACGTTTGTGCTTGCTTGAGAGTTGAAAGTTCTAAGTGATTCTTAAACGTCTATAATTGTACTGCTGATTTCCAGTTAATGTCCCTTACTAGCTAGCAATTTCAATAAGAAGCTTGTAAATTATTTTTGCTTTGTTGTAGATAATATGTACTTGAAACAGTTCTCTCACCTCCTTGCTTGTCCTCCAGCTATTTGAGTTCCCATCTGAATTGATGCCTTAGGGACACCAACTCTTTTCTCCAGGGTCTCTCTCCCTCTCTATCCCCTCTTTTTCATAATTCTTTTTGTATTGAAGTAACATTGGTTTATAACATTATGTAAGTTTCATGTGTACAACGTTTTATTTCTATTTCTGTATACACTACAGCGTGCTCTCCACCAAAATTTTTATTTCCATCTCTTTATATTTTTAGCTTCCCCCTCTTCTCAGACAAGGGAGTGTGTTTTGAAAACTTGAATTTACTCTCCATGATGTGAAGTTTCTTTACATGTCCTGGGGCATTGTAACAGTTAACACGCCAACAGTTTTACCAGCTTTTTCTCTTCTCTTTTTTGATTCTTGTAAGTTACCTAAAAATACATCTTTGTATACTCATATTTTGAGTAGGGAGACCTCATGATTAAGGAAAAATTAGTCTTTTTAGATTTAACACATTGTATCTAACTTTTCTTGCTGTTCTGTGATTTTCTAATGTCAGAAACTTAAAATGACTTCATTTCTAATGCCTGAATTTTACTTTTGTTGAGAAATATGTTACACGTGTAGTCTAACTGTGTAGGAAAGCAATAAAAAAAATCACTTGAGTATAGTTTGCTTATATTGTTTAAAGTAAATTTCTAAGGACAGCTCTTTTATTGTTTTCAGTGTTTACATGCCTTAGATTTTTCATAGCAATTTCAGTAAATTGGCTAAAAAAGCCCCAGAGATTTCAGAGCCAGGGCTGTTCAGCTGCGTTTTTCTTCTACAACCATATTCATGCATTTGACCTTCATCTAACAAAGAGATTCATCATTGCCCCTCCCTAGCCACTGATTAGTATGTTTGATCTTGACTGTGCTGGTTCTTGTAAACCGAGGTGTTTTGGATCACTTGAGGCTTATAAAGCCAGTAAACAATTCTGAAGGTGTTGATGATAACTGAAGGGCTAATGTATGGCAGAACGCTGCTGCCGCTTATACAGAACACACACGCACATCATGGCTAGTGCTGTGCTCGGAGCTCTCTTCCTCGGACCTCTCAGGACTAGGTTGTTACATCTGTCTTCGACGCTGAGTATGCATCTGTATGAGAAAACGATGGAGATCTAGTTTAACAGTTTATTTCTTAGCACATGGCAGTAGTGGTTTGTGACTCATATTGGGAGTTGGCTGGCATTCCTCACCTGAGCTTGTGAAGACAGTCATGTCTGTTTATAAATAGTTCTATATACAATAGTCCCTGGTTTTCCTTTTTAATCCCTGGAGGGGCTTTTGGAAAACCTGTGGGAATGAAGCAAGAAGTCCTTGCTTGATTCAAGGCTTGATTCTGTAGCTGCTTGTTTTATGACCTTGTACCAGTTTGTTAGATTCACCCAACTTTAATTTACCCATCTCTAAAAACAGAAATATTACATCTCATGGTTGTTGAGAGAATTAAATGAGATGGAGTAAATGAGATGGAGTAAATGAAAGTTCCTTTTCACGCAGAAAACCAGACAGATTAAAAGTACTGTTTCTTTGACTCACATGACTGTGTAAAAGCCCTCCTTTCTGTCATCCAGCCTTACGCCACACCCAGCTTAAGGCTGGGCTAGTTACCACAAAGCCTGGTGTCCTCAGACGCCAGCCCGGAAACAGGCTACCGCATGGCAGTGTCACAGTCACCTTGCTTAGGCTGTGCTCATCCCAACTCCTACCCCCCTTAGTCTGTGTGCCTTAGTGAGAGGGACGCTTACGCCACCAGCTCCAAGCAAGGAGAACCAGCATAAACAGTCACCTGCACGGGTTCACACTCCTGCTTGGCCTCTCATGGGCTGGAAGGCCTTTGAGAAATTACCCAAGGTCTCCGAGCCTCAGTTTCCTCATCCAGGAGGTAAGCATGCTACTGCCTTCCTCTTTGGAGGTGATACCTGTGAAGGGCCAGAGTATTTAGTGTTTGGCATATATGGTTATTATGGAAATTTTGGATCCTTCTTTCTCTGAAGTTTCTGAACAGAGAGGATATAACCAGATATTTTATGATAATTCAATCAACTTTCATAAAAGGAAGTTTTGGGATTCTTTAAACAGATTGTAACCTGTAATGATCATTGACTTTCTTGTTTGCCATGAAACAAGTGATAAACATCTTCATTTCCTTTTACTCTGGACACACACAAACACACACACACTTACTCTGCCTGTTTGGTCTTCAGCACAGATGGATACTGTTTCACAATGATAGAAGAAGATGATTCTGGGATGCCCGTGGTCACTTCGGGATGTCTGGGACTAGAAGGCTCAGATTTTCAGTGTCGGGTAAGGAAGAGAACTTGATTCTACTTTGTAACCTTTCATTGGCTAGATTTCAGAATGCCAAGTTTCAAACAAGGTAAAACAATTGTGGTTTTTTGTGTTTGTTTGTTTTGACTAGCCTGTTTTTTTAATAATTTGGAAAATAATTTGAAAATTCTCATTGGGCCAATACTGCCTTCATTTTGAAATCAAGTATTCTTTTTTTCACTTTTGCTGTTAACTTCTGGTTTAGTGACTCATTTGATCATCTTGCTCAAATTCCAGCTTAGCTAACTGTGTTAACTAAAGAAGCCAAGCCTTCTTCTTCAGTTGACACTGTAAACACTGGTTATTACAAATACAGTAGTAATTTTTGTTGAAATGCAGAAGTTGCAGTAAGATAATATATGATAATTTGAAAGAAATTACCTAGTAAACATTTCCAACATGTTTGAATAAAATTATCAGAATTTTAAGTGAGTTCTCTAAATAGTATTAATTTCTAAAGTTTTAGATAATGTGAAACTTTGAAATTTCCAGGAAACCTGTCAATAACTGTTTGGGTTCAATTTCAGGACACTCCCATTCCTCATCAAAGAAGATCAATTGAATGCTGCACAGAACGGAATGAATGTAACAAAGATCTCCACCCTACACTGCCTCCACTGAAAAACAGAGGTAAGGAGAGGAAGGCTTCCAGGCTGGAAAAGCTTTAGACATAAAGAAAATAAAAACTTAAATTATTTTCTTTTCTAAATGCATCTATCTGTACCATTTTCCACTGCTGGGGCAGAGGACTGAGGCAGGATGACACAACACAACTGTCATTCAAAGACATGTGCAAGGAGTTCTTGGCGAAGGAGTCGCACATGACTTCACGCTTAAGAGTCTTATTTCTGTAACCTCACCTCACTTCCTTTGGAAAACTGCAGTGTCCAGAACTTGTAGTGTGTTTGAGGAGGGAGAGATAGTGTTTTGTTTGCCCCTAAAAGTTATTCAGAAGTTGCATTTCACTCAAAAACTGCTACTTGGCTACATTCATTGTAAAAATAAGGACCTTATAAAGGACTAAATCAGATTATTTGCTGGATGGCATTTCCTTTTATACATGCTAGAGTAACTACTTTTTAGTCAAATTACGTATCACATGTGGATAAAATGGAGAAAATACCTAGAAAATTAAATTCTAAGGCTTACATATTTAGTGTTGGTCATTAAGAAAGATAAATATTGCATCCCAAAGACTTTTGGTTAAAAACAGCTCCCATGTTTCTTTTCTTCTTGTTCTCACCACAAAATAGTTTGTAATTGTCATACAGTCCTGGGTCTTATATAAGTAGCCTAAAATGATTCTTTATGATTGATTTTTTTATTTCTTGAGAAGATAAAATCTTCCCAACAAAGTACAATGACATTTCAAGGTTTCAATGATAATATTTTATAACATTTGTTCCTACTATAGCCTAGAGAACTCTGTAAGATTGATTCCTAATTAGCCACATCAAAAATTCAGTTTCTAAAATTTTGCCAGTCAACATGCTAGGTGGTAGGGATACAGAAATGGGTAAAGAAAGTCCTTGCTCTCACGATTTGCACTCTGGCATATGAGAGAGAAACATGTAAATAACTCAGTTATATTTGGACCCTCTCAATAGTAGAGTTAGATTATGAGGTACATTAAGGACACAAAAGAGTGAGTGGCTCATTTTGGGATGGGAGGATGCCAGAATAGCTTCCTGGTAGTGATACTTAATAAGACTTCAAGGAGGAATAGAAGTTTGCTAAAATGGATAGGGCAGGGATAAGAAATTAAAAAATTAAAATGGCTTACATAAGCCAAGCATTATGCTTAGTATTACATTAATTAATTCAGCTTCACAGCAATACAGTGAGGTACTTAGGATTATTATTCCCCATTGAAAGAGGAGGAAATTGCAGCACAGAGAGGTTAATTATCTTTCCCAAGGTTGCACAGCCTGTGAGTAGCCATGACTCTAAACAGAGGCAACAGTATGTGCTGCGGTTTGGTTTGAAATATTTGAGCAACATCTGCAAAATCCAGGCACAGGAAACGGCCTGGCTGGTTGGAGAAAGTCATTCTTCAAAGGGGGCCGTGGATCAGCCGCCTCAGTACCACTTGGAGCTCCTTAGAAATACAGACTCTCAGGCCCCACCCCAGACTACTGAACATGCATTTTTAACAAGGTTCCCAAAGTGATTTATATGCGTATGGAAGTTTGGGCAACACTTTTGGTAGAAAAAGAATCTATACGTGGGTATAGCCAGCGCCGCTGAGTCTCACCATGTTGAGTTTGACGACATCTTTTTCAAAGAGAACTCCACTGATGTCAAATTGCTGTAAAATGCCAAATGTTTACGTTCAATTTTTGTAGTTATTCCCTTGTGACCTGTTTGCAAAAGTAGGCATCCTGTAGGCAACATTTTGAAAAGCAGAGGTGCAGAGTCAGCCGTGTCGGCCGTGGGGGAGGGAGGTGGGGGAGGAGCGCTAGAAATGGAGGTAGACACGCTAGAATTTCTTCCCTCAGGGAGGAAAGGCTTTTCACCTGCGAGTGGAAGTGGTGTGTCCCAGAAGTAGCCCATGGGGTTTAGGAAATTGATGCTTCAAGTGCTGAAGGGGCTGCAGTGCACATGTTGCCCTGTAGATGGAGCCAGATTCTAGTTAGGACGAGGCAGGCCAAGGATATTCTCTGAGGAGGTTGAGCAGGTAGGGACTTAAAAAAATAGACTACATCTCTAGACAATGGAATGAAAAGGCTTTGAAAAGAGGGGCAGCCGTGTTGGAAGACAAGTCTTTGGTTCAAGGCAGCATGGGAAGGAGGATGTGGATGTGGCTGGTAGGTTATGTAGAGGATTATACAAAGTGATAGATTTGGGGGGAATTTGGTGGCATTCGGCTTTACTGCTTTGAACTCTAAGGACTCCAGCTAGTACCTAGATGAGGTCTCTGCAGATTCTACCTCACCCTTTTTGGCGCAGTCCTGTTGGGGTCCAGTAAAAGTCACTGCAACTGTGTCTGAGAGCACTGGTCTTTTTTATATAACTATACCATGGAGCTGCTGCCTTTTACGTTTGTTTTTGCCTCTACCAAATGCTATGGACAACATTTTATTGGAAGTGTACTCTATATGTTTACTAAAAGTCAGTAATGCCTTGGTCAGAAACATTTGTGTTGTAGCCATATTGGATATATGTCTCTATGAATTCATATTGGAGATAATGTGTATACATGTTTTTGGTATAAAGCCCCAAATAAAGAACAGGGATGATGTTAAAGAATCATAGAACCGTCTTCTCTTAATATTTTTAATTTTAGCTTAGAATAGCCCTAACTTTTGCGAAGCTGGGGCAGTAGTATGTTTGGAAGTCCACATACCATTCACCTAATTATTTAAAACTCGTAAACCAGTGTAGAAGACTGGTAAATATAGCTTCTATTAACCTGACTTAAATGTATTTTTGTAGTGATGGAGAACACCAGCTTGGCGTTGAGAATGCTTGAACTACTTAGTCTTACTCCCTCCGGTGTGGGAGGGGAGTGATGGGGAGAGCCCGTTCTGGGTTCTGTAAGGGCCTGTCATGCCTGCACGTGGGCGCTCGTCGTGTGTCTGTCTCGGCCTATTGATAGAGACGCTATGGACTGGTAGTGCCCGAAGCACTTACCTGGGCCCATAACACAGTGGCAGGCCCCCCCAGACACTTCCCCAGCTGGAGCCAGTGTTGTGGCTAGACGGACCTGTGTGGTTCTCATTACAATTGTAAGATGAACCTCAGTAACAGCCATCAGGGAACTTTGCAAATTAAAAAGGTTTATTATTCACAGGAACTGGAGGGTACACAGCACACCTGAGGGCCACATGGCAAGGGCCCAGGTATGGGGGTCGGGTGCGGACTTGGGGTTCTAACTTTATTGGGGGTGAAAGCGGGGGGCCTTGTGTTTCACAGGTTCACTCTTTATTGGCAAATTAATTTAAAAAGTGAGTTATAATTGACATATATCATTATATTAGTTTCAGGTGTACAACATAATGACTGTTTGTATATACTGCAAAATCATCACCACAGCAAGTCTAGTTAACATTTGTCACCATACATGGTTACAGAAGCACTGGCAAATTTAAAACATACGAGCGGGAATTAGGGCGCAGGCAGGGAAAAGGGAAGTTACTCAGGCGGTCCGCTGTCCAGGGAACTTCATGGGCGGGGTGGCCCGGTTCCTCGCCTAGCTGTGTCACCAGTAGCTAGTGCCACGCAGCTAGCGGGGTGCTTATCTGAGGTGGGTGTGTTTGAAATGGATGCCTCGAAAGCTCAGTGTCAGACCCGACACTACCACACCCCAGCCCTCCCGTTTACGCTCCACCCGCGTGTCTTGCCCCCGCCAACCCCTCGGCCTTAGGGAATGTACGCCAGCTCCTTGGTCCGCCTGCAGTAGGACAGGGCTGGAGAAGAGGGCCTCACAGTTCCCAGACACAGGCTTAGGGCCATTTAGGTGGAATTCCAGACTTTGGGGCAATGGCCCGTGTTTTTAATGGAAAGCGGACCAGGACAGACTGGGTGGGCACGTGGCCTGGGATCTGCGGACCCATGCTCAGTGGGAAGGGGCACAGTTGAAGGGAGCCAGAGCAGGACCCTCTAAGAACCCTGCTCTTAGCTCAGGGGGTTCTAAGCTCAGAACCAGTCCAGTTTTCTGACTAAGGGCAGTGGAGATCATCATAGTAACTGTGATCTTTGCTGACGTGAATAGAGTGCTTACTGTGGGCCTTTTCTGAGTGCTTTACATGTACAAACTCATTTAGTCCTTCTAACAGCCCAGTGCGGAAGGCACTGTTATCGTCATCCCCATTTCACAGACGTGCAAGCTAAGGAATAGTGGGGTTAAGTACTGTGCGAAGGTTACACAGCTAGCGTAAGTCCTGGAGGTAGGAAATAGGCCAGTGGCCTCATCTCACTGAATCTTCTATGCAGAGCGCTGAATGACTTCCCCCCACCAAAAAAATAAAAGTTTTTATTTATCTAAGAGTCAGAAAACTCTCAATAAATAGTGGTTAGTTGTGTCACAAAATAATCAGTAAACAATTCATATGATTCCTTCAAAGCCTTCTGTTTATTATGTTTGCTTTGCCCAATTAGCGTTTTCTCTATTCTTAGGATATGGCATTAGTTGCTTGCTCCCTCTCTCCCTTGCACTCACCCCTCCTCTTCCCCTCCTCCACTTCCTTCTAATTTATCATTTATGAAGGTCCCACTTGTGTACCAGGCCAGAGGTTTTCAAACTTAGGGGCATCAGAATCACTTGGGGAGCTTGTTAAAACACAGAATACTGGCCCCTACCCAGAGTTTCTGATTCAGTAGATCTGCGGGGACCCTAATAATTTGCCTTTCTAAGAAGTTTCCAGGTGATGCTGATGCTGCTGGTCCAGAGAGCACACTTTGAGATCCCCTGTACTAGGTGTTGCCCCGTAGATTGTTAGATATTGTAGCAGATTTATTAAAACCTAAATGGCAAACTACTATAAAGCAGACACTATCTTATGAAAAGAGAGGGCTGAAAAACCCAGCTTACCATTTTTTGTTGTTGTTCTTTATTCTTAATAATTGCTCTTCCAAAAAAGTTAAAAGGTTAACCTCATCACAAAACATCTGTGTTACTAGGAGTTAAATAGTAACAGGCTTAGGTGAGGTTCTGTTATTAGACATCAGAGAAGTCCTAAGTGTAGGGGGAAATATCTACCAATAAATTTTCTTACTGAAAAATAAACAAGAAAACCTTTTCTACTAGTAGAGTTTTTTCAGATTTTTTTTCCAGCTTAGATGCGTGAGCAGGAAATTAGAGAATCACATCCAATAAATATTTATCAGTGTACATTTAGGTCCTTGAAATTTTGTCATCTTCTCTTTCAAAAAATGATGAACGGTGGCCAGAATGCAGCTTAAATTCTTTTATGAATATTAGTTTTCCTTTTGCTTTGCTAATTCCATTTTAGCACCAGCAAAGCAGGATGCTGTAGGATAATAGTCTTTCTCCTGAAGGAAGAAACATGAAAAGTAATTAGATCAAATGTAGCACCTTCATCATAAACAATAAAACATGATCTGGGAAGCCCAGTAACACTGCGGCTGGTGCTAAGGGTAGGAAGGGATGTCTACTTTGATGGAGAGGCTTATAGGGAGAAGTCGTGGTGCCCTGGTGTCTGGCTTCCTGCCTGCAGATTTAGCGTTGGAGGGGCACCGAGATGCTTGGAGGAAGGATGCACGCCCAGACTCTCAGCATCACGTGTTCTGACCAAGATATTGTGAGTAAAGTGTTGTATTGAAGTGGCATGTAGGCCAGAGAACTTGATGAGGATATTTTTCTCCTCTCAGATTACTTATTATAGTCACTTATTTTTGTTTAATCTTTTTTTCAGATGAGCATTTAGAGAAGTGAAACACTGGTGTTAAAATGAACAGAAGCCGTTGCTTTATTGAATGGGATTCTCTAATTAGGTTTTTACAAAGTCAAATTAAGTTCATATAATTTTTTGGAATAGGTGTAAGTTTGTTGTTTTACTATAGGAATTACTTTATATATAGTACGTGTGTTACCGGGAGGAGGGGGAAAAATTACCTCAGTTCTTAGTCACCTGAAAAAAAAATGAATTTTTAGTGAGAGACAGAAAATGTGATGTAAACAGATTTTATTCGTAAAGTGAAAAGGTGGTAAAAGATAGAACCCTCCAGAGAACCGGGGGCGGGCCGATCCGGGAGAGGAAACATGGTGCCGCTCCTTTGTTTCTCCTGCCTTACATCCTGGCTTAGGAGGGGTTTTCGTGATTGGTTGACAGCTCACGTTCCTTGCGCTCAGGCACGACCATCCCTTTTGTGCAAGTGCTTACCCATGATGCACACAGAGAAACCTGTGGTGGGGGCTCAAACTGAGCCCCTTATCCTGAGCGCAGGCGTAGTGTTATCTTCTGGGTTGCCTCCTCCCCCTTCCTCTCCCCTTGCCCAGAGCTCATTTCTAACTTCCTAACACATGTATACTTCCTAGAAAATGTATCAGAAACAACATTCTGTTTTGAAATAGGATAATTTCAATATAGTTTAGGTAAAATTATAATACAGGATTTCCAAAGCTAAAATTTATCTAATTTCTTTTCTTATTCAATTAAAATACATATTCTGAACAGTGTACAGATTTGTTTAGAAATGCTGTTGCATAGTTTAGATACTGCCAATTACAGATTAAACTCAATAGGTAAGAGGTATTTAACCAGTGAAACATCTCCCTTATTCTCCACAACACAGATAGGTTGAATATATGATGGCGTCTAGAGTGCAAGGATGTGTTGCAGAATTTTCCTTCTGACACATTTTTTATGCCAGTGACAGTATAAACCGGTACATGAGTTGGAGCTGAATTCCTTGTCAGCAGTTAGCTCTAACATTTCTTGAAATGTGCAGCTTTTAATTATTTTGGAAATTCTGGTTAACTTTGGGATGGATGAAAGAAATTTAGAAATAATTAGTCTCTTTTTTTTCTCGTTGAACACAATAATCTGGATATAAAAATTCTGTCTTAACTTCTTTTGTTACCGAGAAATATAATTCTAAATATTTTTATGTCGGAAAAGAACTAGAAAATTCTGTCTTTGTTCTTATAGTGAATTTATTTCTAGACATTACTGTAAGATGGAATTCAATATATGATCAAAGTAAATTACTTTACACTATTATTTTTTGACTGAAATCCTCTGACAAGAATGTTTTTTCAGCAACTTTATGCTCCTGTTAATAGAAGGATGTCTCCAGTTTATCTGTGATTGTAACATTGAGAGCACATTTAAAGATGTCTTTGGGCCATTCGTATTTTCTAGATGCTTTCTAGATTTTTTTCTTTTATTTCTTACTGCAGTTATGAGCCATCTTCTAGCCTTAAAAAAATAGACCTGGCATTTTAAGCAGTTACAAACCAGTTACAAACCAGTTAATTATCAGAAAGGAGACAAGTAGTGACAGAATGTTATTTTGTTAGGAAACCAATACTGATTCTTCCTTGCCTCTCACAGTGAACCAGGCTTCCCTGGAGAGTGCTCTGTTCTACTTCCCTGAGCAGTTGGAGTGACAGCCAGGTGGAAATCTGCTGCCCCAGAGAGAACTGTGGGCTCTGTTCTTTCCCTGAGAGGTATCTGGTAGTGTTCCCCTTCCAGGATTCTGGCAGCGACTTGAATGTTTACATTGTTAATGCTCTGAGAACAGGTAATGGCAGATTAAAACACAACCAGCGTGACTAACAGAAACAAAAGGTTTATTGATAAGGCTCACGTATTCATGACAGGAGACAGGCAGGCAGTGGATGAGGCTGCAGGGGATAAGGTTATTGGGGCAAAGGAAAGGAAAATGGGAAGGTCATGTTAGCCTTAGAGAAAAGTGCTTGATGGTAAGGGAAGAATCCTTTATGAGAGGATAATATGAACCTTTCTGGTCTTGTGGCTGTCATAAATCAGAAATCTAGTAAGACGAGGAATAAATATGTGTTCTTACAGTTCACAGTGTCTTCTGTATTTACATGGAAAAGTCAGTGAGGCTGAGTTTTAATAAAATTATATCACTTGAATAAAAAATACTCTGTACTCATATGCTGACAATGTGTTGTGTTGGGGTAGTTATGTCTTCTAGTTCTAATAGAGTGTCCAGTGTTCTCTTTGGTTTTCTGCAAAATCAGGCTTTTTATTTTTGTTATCCTTAAAATTGGAAATCGATGTTAAGCTAAGTTTCCAGCAATACTATTTGCACACGTATGCACCGTGGTATTTGTGCACCTGCACGCATATAAACATTGTTACCTGCCCTCTCCCTGGCAGAGGTTGTGCTTACCTTCGGTTTATTGCTAACTTTGCCTCTAACCTAAAGGAGGGAGGGAGAGAGAGGGAAAATTTATTAAGACAATTTATTGTGTAAAATTTTAGCTTGATTTTAAGAGCCTGCAGATTATTTTCAAGATTTCCTAAGCAGCACTTTTCAGACGATGCATGTGTTAATTATATGTGATTTCCGTTGGTGTTAGCGTGAATGGCTTTTTGGATGTGTACCGTAGTGGGTCAAGTTCCTGAATTCCTATTTTTCTGGACCATGGGCGATGTTTCTGAATTTGTTCATATTAAAACTGCTTTTTAAAAAATGGATTCTCATTTAGCTTTTTCAGGTACAGATAGAATACTTGCATTAATAGTTTACAAGTAGTAGAGATCATAAGTAATTGTTAAACATATATTAGACTGATGACTAAATCTTAATATTAACCATCTCAAGATTTGGATAAGAAATTGGCATAAAGATGTATGGATTTTAGTTTGAAATAAGTAATCCAAACGGTCTCATACATATTTCAAAGTAAATGTTAATTTTCTGATTTTGATAATTGTATCACCATTTGGTAAGACAATGTCCTTGTTCTTAGGAAGTGAACTCTGAAGTGTTTATGGGTAGGAATATTATGTCTATAACTTCAGATGGTCCATAAATTATGCATACATGTAAAGAGATAACCATAAATATGAATACAAATATATATATATACACATATATCTTTTATAGAGAGAGAGGTAAGCACACACATACATACTGAGAAAGCAAGAGAGTCATAAAGCAAATATGGTAACATTTTTAAAATGAGAACTTTCTAAAGGACATGTTGGAGTTCTGCAGACTCAAATTATTTTAGAGTAATTAAAACATGTTCATATTGATGATACAAAAGAAACTTATAATCTTTTTTAAAGGATATTTTGACAGCATGTGTGAAAAAACTAAAAATACATATCCTTTGAACTAATAATACTACTTCTAGGGATGTAGATTAAGAAGATAATCATTGATGTGCAATGATACATGCATAAGAATGTTCATCACAGGATTTTAGGTAAAGATGTTATTATAGCAAAATCTTGACAATCCCCTAAATATATATACATCATCAGAAAACTGACTTTCTAATTAGAATGTGTCTGTATATACACTATGTAGTCTTTAAAATCCATGTTGCAGAAAAATTTGTATTGTTTACAATATTATCCATGAAAACACTCGTTATAAGGCAATTGTAATTTTTTCCGAATCTTACTGTGAAATACACATAACAGAAAGTTTACCATCTTAACCACTTTCAAGTGTACAATTTGGTGATGTAAAATATGTTCATAATGTTGTGCAACCATCACCACTCTCCATTTCTTTTCATCTTGTAGAATTGGAACTCTTACCCATTAACCGTTAACTTCCTCTATCTCCCCTCTCCCCAACCCCTGGCAACTGCCATTCTTCTTTTTGTCTTTATGGTTTTTGACTGCTCTAAGTATCTCTTATAAGTAGAGTCATGCAGTGTTTGTCTTTTTGTGATTGACTCATTTCACTTAGCATAATGCCCTTAAGGTTCATTCATGTGGTAGCATATGTCAGAATTCCCTTCCTTTTTAAGGCTTAACCATGTATGTGTATACGACATTTTGCTTATACATCTATATGTCCATGGACACTTGGGTTTCTTCCATGTTTTAGCTATTAAGACTAATGCTGCTAAGGACAGGGGTGTATATAATGCCTTTTTGTGAACTATTTTGCTGAGGAACACTTTGGTCATCGAAATGACACTGCAAGGGCGTACACTAAAATGTTAGTAGTAATTTTTCCAAGTAGTGTGGTGGTGGCAGTTTCGTTTATTTTATTTTGCTTAGTTGATGCTTTTCAGTTTTTCTTCAGGGAATATGTAACACTTTTGAATGAAAAAATAAAGTTACATTGAGTGGGATGAGGTCTCTAGCCAAAATGTTTAGGTACTCATACAATTAAAAGTATACAGCACAGTTGGAAAACATCTTGTTTGTAGGTAACCAAAGTCATAAATTATAATACATGATACCTTTAAAAATTAAATAACAGTAATTACTCTCCCAAGGATATACAGTGCCCTTAATAAGAGTGGTGCTAATTCTCTTAATATATAAGCACACCTGGATTTTGGTCATTTTTCTTCAAATGTATTCCACAGACTAACTGCATATAAATCACCTGGGATGATTGTAGGAAGTAAAATAAAGTAGTTTGAATAAAAATCTCTGGGGTTCAAGTCAGTAAATATGCATTTGTGTAAAGCTGTCCTGGTCATTCTTATTTTTATGAAGTTTGAGACTGTAAGTAAATCTGATGTCAAGAACCAGAGTTAAAACAACATGAATACTATTTAATAATTTGTTGTTTAAAAGGATCATATAATTCTTTGAGTAGAACATACCCATTCTTTTAAAATATGATGCCACTTATGAAAACCTTAGGTATGTATTTTTGAAGGGCATCTTTGCTTAAAGTAATGCACATCCATATATTCTATGTTTGGCAATATATCAGGAATCCTGTTCCTTTGTATCCATCATAGGATGACTTTTTATTTTATGTACACTGAATATAAATTAGTTTTTTATCCAAAGTCATGATATAGTGCGCTTCAGAAACCACATGTGAAAAGCCTGTAAACCCATCAGCTGGATCTGACACAAAGATGAACTACCTACTGATATTTTAGGGGCATTGCTCCATCTACATTTATTTATATTCTGTGCTTTTATCTTATGTCAAGCATGTTCCTTCCAGAGAGGAAGAAATACATGCCATTGAAATGAGTGCCTCGATGAACAATGATTCATGTTAGTCAAACTTAACTTAATTTTAAGAGCATATATATATATATATATATTTTCATCAATTAGCAGATTAAAAGGACCTTTCACATCATGCATATGGAGCTTAGCAAGCACTTTTAGCAAAGAACTGCTTCCTTATTTTTAAGTGAAAATCGTCTCTGTATCATGGCTCTCTTTTCTTTCTAATTTCAGATTTTGTTGATGGACCTATACACCACAAGGCCTTACTTATATCTGTGACTGTCTGTAGTTTGCTCTTGGTCCTTATCATTTTATTCTGTTACTTCAGGTAAGTTTCCAATATGTAGGTGTAGGATTTTGAATTTATAATATCTTCCTCATACTCTTCTACCTGTTGACATTTTTTTACCACAGCTTTCCTTGCCCTAATTAGATCTTAAAGTTCACGGATAATATCAGGTTTCTAGTGATAAATATTTGTCCTAAGGAAGCTATTAAACCTATCTCTTTTCCGTTTCAAATATCAAAACCACCCAGAAAAAATTCATCTCTAGAGAATTTACGGTCATTAGGAAATTCAGCAACTAGTTGTTACTGAGGTTTGATTCAAAGCAGAGAAATGACCATGTTGAACTTAGAATGGTTTTAGTAATTCCTTATTTCATGAACTAACAGTTTCTCTTTAACATTGAAATATTTTAAAGATAATTTATAGATTAATTATTAAAATAGAATAAGTTCAGTTAGTAAATTAGAGTATAGTCACTACAAATTATTTTCAGTCACCTAAGAACCCATTTTCTAGTTCGTGAAATGGCAGGGACCTTTACATTCTCATCATTTGCCTTTTGCAGTCCTCATTTAAGTTACTGTTGTGCAAATGGGAGTTGATTCAAATAACATCATTTCTAGTGAAAGACATAATTATTGACAAAAGTTTTTAAAGTTTCAATTGATTTCATTTATCTATATTATCGCTTTATATACATTACCTTAGATGAAAAAGTTTGTTGTAATGTCTTTTGTAAACCAAAAATTTGCATCTTTGATTAATTACCTTATAGGAATTACCTGATATTAAATAATTACCTTATAGAAAAAGACTTTAGGAACTGATTCTTGGAACTATGTAGAAACACTTATGGAATGTAGGCTGCTTGGATATATGCGGTTGAAAGAAATAGAGAAGAAAAATTATAGATGGTTGTGACTGAGTGAAAACATGTAGTTTACTTTAAAAGTAGGTTAGAAAAATAATTATGATTTTGTGTTTTGGAAATCATAACTAAGAGTGATAAATACTGAGCATTTAATCTTGTATTTATGTGCAGGGATAAAACCTGCTGTGGTTACTGTTTTATCTGCCATGTTTTGCTCCTGTTGTTGGAATCCAGAGTCTCAAACTGCCTTCCTCTGTGCTTCTGCAGGTATAAAAGACAAGAAACCAGACCTCGGTACAGCATTGGGTTAGAACAGGACGAAACGTACATTCCTCCTGGTGAATCCCTGAGAGACTTAATTGAGCAGTCTCAGAGCTCGGGAAGCGGATCAGGCCTCCCTCTGCTGGTACGAGAGGAAATGTCAATAACCGCCTGGTTTCATTTTACTGAAATGGATAGGGCGATGGGCAAAGAGAAGGATCCCTGCAGTCAGTGAGACATCAGATCTCAGATGCAGGGTTTCCTGATAACATTTTGACATATTGGGGGCGAGGTGATTGTTCTTTAATGTGAGTGTAAGGTTACAATCCAGACCGTCGGACGTTCTGATAAAGAGCAGATTAGAAAATACTCAACATGGGACCATCTTCCCTCTGTTTTCAGTAAGGATAGCGTTACTGCACTTTGGCCTGGCTTTTGAAGGCAAAAGTAGCATCACAACCAACTGGGATCTGAGTGCTTCTCCAAGGGAAGAAGGCTGCGTTTCAGCTGGAGGGTTTATGTTTCAGGGTGAAGTCCTGGCTTTTCCATTCAGGAGAGTTTTAATTTTCTGATGGTCAACACTGCCAACTTTGAAGAAAATATATACCGAATCCAAGGCACTTGCTTTAATGAGAAAAGCATTCGGTTTCTTTATGGACCATGCAAAAAGGTTGTTGGGACTTGGAATGGAAATAACAATTTTAGTGAGAAATATTTTCCTTTATAAACTCTTAAGATTGTTTTTCCTAATCTTTATTGTCTGGTTCTGACTTTGGATATCTTGTTTACTTGATTTTTTTGGTGACTTTTTATTTAGTGCTAAAAATAACTTAAAAAAACTCAAGCCAAGAATTGATTACTCTTTTTTTGACACACAAGAAGCTGTATAGATTTAATATATATAAGTTGAAGAGTTTGAAAATGAGTATACATCTGTGAAGCCATCACCACAGTCTAGGCTATAAATATATTCACCACCTCCCAAAGTTTCCACCTGCCCCATTCATTCATTATTATTATTTTATGATAACACAACATAAGGTCTAATGTCGCAAAGTTTTAAGAATACAGTCCACTGCTGTTAACTGTGGGCACCGTGCTGTACGGCAGGTCTCTAGGACTTAGTCATCTTGCATAACTGAAACTCTGTGCTCTTTGACTAATATCTCCCCTGGAGGTAACAGACCAGACAGAAACCCACTTGGGAAGCAGTCATTCTGACCAAACCGATGCTACTTAGGATGTAAGTTTTTTTTTAATGTCAAAGTTCTTATCAAATTGGTTGATTTTTCATTCTTAGAATTTAATGAATATATAGCAAATACCATTCTAAAATTTAAAAATCTGTTTTATTATACTGTTTTTTAAGTACCAATATTAAAATCCCCTTTAGTATTAATGCATCAGATATTTATGCTCTTGGAATTGAAAGCTACTTATTTTCTTCCTTCTAGCCCATCTTTCTCATTTCTGTGGCGTTCTCTCTCTAAAACCTTACTGTCTCCCTCCCTGGATAACACGTTCTAGTGTCCTAGTGTTTACGGGTCCTTTCTGGCTTGGTGAGCACAGCAGCCTCTCCTCCCAACCTCTTCCCCACCTGCTTCCTGAGCCGTGGCATCAGCCTTGAGTAATTGTTTTGAAAATACAACATGGTTTTAAAATCCACGTCTTTGCAAGTGTCGTATCTTTCTGGAGAGTTCCTTCGACTGTCACTCAAGGCCTAACCCATGTTTTATCTCTGTGACAAATTAGCCCAGACTGAGCCAGCCTGTTTCTCTTCTGTCCTGACAGTCCGCTGCGGTACCAGTACAGTGGTTGAGGATAGCACTGTCATTGGCATTAGTGTGGTGAGTCTTAGGTGGACTTCCATCTCTTCAGGGGTGGAGACTGCATTTTTCCACTTCGCATCCTCAGTGGCGTACCTGAGTGATTAAACAGGCTGCTCAGTAATTTGTTTTTAAAAAATTTCAACTCCAACTTTTAGTGTCTGTGAAAATACAGTCTTCTTTCTGTAATTTAGATACAAAAAAAAAATTAGCTGTTAACTCTATAACAGTTAAGAGCAGCCAGACATCGGCCCTTACAGGATGAGCTCATTTCATCTTCATAGCACCCGTGAGGTAGCACTAGACACGTATCCCTGTGTTCGCATCCGGGGCGTGCGCCCAGCTGGTCAACCAGCTCACAGGCGGATGAGCCAGGACTCAAACCCAGCCGATCTCTAGAGTCTGTGCACTTAATGTTTGTGAACCAAATATTAAATAAAACAAAGAACTGCATTTGATGATGGCAAGATGGGAAGAAGGAGTCTATAAAACTCAGTTTAGTAAAGGAACAGTCTCAGTATTACAGATTTAAGATCTTGTTTTAAGATTTGGTTTTTAAGATAAACAGTGTAGAAATGTACAGTAGCCTTTCTGCGTATTATCATGTGACTATCTCACCTTAATACTGATTTGTTACTTCTTTCATTAATGTAAAGGGAAAATTCATGCCTGGAATATAAACTTGGATGTACTATTTGCCAAGTGACTTTATATATAAATCCTTTAAGGAAGGAACATCATAGGATGGTTGTAAGAATTAAGATGGTATGCGTTTTCCTACTGTGTATGTATATAAATATGCTGGCATATTTAATATGTATGTATTCTGTAAATAGTAACACTATTATTATTTATTTATACCCTATTTATCTGACCTTGTAAAGGAACAAAAGGTGAAGTAAATTGTCTAATTGAACATCACACCTTTTGGTTGAGAAATCTTTTGTAAAGAATCTTTCCAATGTGTATTATTCACATAGCCTTACTAAGCAAAGTATTTAACAGTATATTTTTGTATTGCTCATTCAGGGGCATGTTGAGAGTACAGAGTATTACTTACAACTGTGTGGTTTCTAGTGTCCATCTTGTACGTGGACTTAACCATTAGAGACTATCAGGTAATCTGATCACTAGATGAGAGGACATTTCTGATATAGTGACAGCTCCTTATAATCCTTCTACAGCTAGATGTACCCATCTTACATGAAATAATTCTCTTTTTGGAATCACAATTATAGTGATTATATTTTATTTTTGCAATCTAACTTTCAAAATAAATATCTAAGACTGTAATAGAGAGTGAAAGTTTAGGTACAGAAAGATGTGAAACATTAACTAAATCAAACAAAAACTCAAATAACATAGATAAAACATTTTTCAAGTTATATTTTCCAGTTCATAAATGTTGTTATAAATCACAAAATATAAATATATTTTAAATTTCTGAATGTAATTTAGTGAGACTTTCTGTCTTTGAGATAAGTTGTTCCTATTATGAGCATTGCCAATTCCATCAGTACTTTCATTAATTAGGTATGTTATCATTAGAAAAGAAGTGGATGTAAAACTGTTTATGTTAGGAAGTGTCCCATAGATTTACGTAAGCAATGTTTTGTAATATCTGTAAATTAATAGTATTTCTTTAACAAATGTAGGAAGTCTTCTCTCAAGTCAGTCATGTAACTCCTTGTGGATTTGGCTCTCGGCTGCTTGGTGCTCTTGGTGATCTGGCCGCTCACTCAGGATGGAAATGTGCTGAATGTTTCCTCGTAAAGCCCTCTGCCTTTTAAAGGGGGAAAGGCTGCTCCACACATATACTTGGTCCCTCATTTCCTTCAGGCCGAGCGGCTTAAATGGCATATCAGCGATGCTTTTATTTTTCAATCCTTCTTTGAGAGGAAAAGGAAACTTTTATCTTGTCCCAAAAAGCTTTCAGTCTGATATTAGTGCTGTTAATGGCTCTGGCAATGGATAGCATTACCTCTTGAATTGATAAAATCGTCCATTATGCAAAAACAGAACCCATCCCAGTTGGTAGACAGCTGCGGCAGGCTGAACCCCAGCCCCCAGCACGTCCGTATCCTAACCCCTGGAATCTGTTATTTTACGTGGCAAAGGGGGAATAAGGTTGCTAATCACCTGCCTTTGGAACGAGATTATTCTGGATTACCTGAGAGCCCCAGCTCAGTGTAATTACATGGTCCTTAAAAGCACAAACACACAAAAAAAACAACTTTGGATTTACTTGATACAAAGCATGTCTCTGAGAAGAGTACATCCCAGTTTTTTGACCAGACCTTATGAGAGTCCTATGTTAGATTCTTTATGTATGTCTACCAAATTGTGTAAATGGTCGCCCATACTTAGGCCTTTCAGTCATGGAGTTCTCAAAAAAATTTAATGTAAGCATGAGTAGAGTGAAGATCATGTATAAAGAGACATTGAACCTCTATGCCTTCACTCTCATGTTTTCTTTCTCTTTGTCTCTGCTGCACTGTCTAATTCTTCAGAGCTTATCTTTCTCCCCAGCTCTCATAGGCTGTTTTACCTCTCCATTTTACAGTTTTGCTTGTGATAATTAACTCTCCCACCTCAAAGTATAATTTTCAATAATTTCTTACTGCTTGCTAATATTTCATTCTGTCTTCTATTTCTTCATGTATTTCATGTAACATTCTTGGTGTTCTGTATCTGAAAATTCCAATGTCTGTAATCTGAAGGGGTTAAATCTCCTTGGGGTCTTTCTCTTGACTCTCATTCGTAGTGGCTGTTCCCTTTTGTTTTAAGGAGTTTACTCTGTGGGGTCTTCTTTCTCCTTTCCTTCTCTCCCTCCCCCCTTGGGGATTTCCTGTCTTTCCTTGTGAACCCACAGTGCATTACAGGCTTTTGTTTCTCATCTTTATCCATGATCGAGTTGTCTGGTGGCAAGAGCTCCTTCAAAGTGTCTAGTTTCTCACCGTAGTGGTGGAAATGAAAAGTTCTGCAAATGATTTCCTCAAGAGAGGATTTGTGTTTGTTTCTGCTGGGAGCCATGGTGATGGTGTGTCACCAACCCAGGGCAAATTTAGTACCATTCAGTGGTCCCAGCTTAATGCTGAAGCCCAGGGTTCAGTTTCTCTAATTTTAAAGACGTGACAGAGTTCATATTCTGGATCTCAGTGCTGGTATTAGTCTTTGCCCAGACAGCAGCCTGGCTTTGGTATGTGCTGAGTGCTTCTCTATCCCTCCTCTTTTCCTCCCTCCCTCTGCCCCTCCCTGTTTGGAAATTTCCTTTATTTCTTTGTGTGCCCAACAATGCATTCCACTCGTGTTTTGTTGTATTTTATTGAAGCACATAGTGGCTTGATTCTCTTCAGAGTGAGTACCTAGTATCCCACTAGAGAGGTGGAAAGGAAGGATATTCTGCCAATTACTGTCAACCATTCAGGTATTTTTCTCTGAAAATAATAACAGGTAGAATGAAATATTTAATAATTTGGAAGCAATATTTCGAATAGTTAAAATCCACAGTCAGTCTCAAATACATTAGAAGAGGACAGCATAAATTAATAAGTAAATACAAATAACTTGTCTCTATAAAGAAGAACTAACTGGCTAAATATACTTTACATGCAATAACTGTTTCTTCTCTGGAGGGGGAAAAAAAAAGATTAAACAAATCTGTAGTGCTGTGAATACACCAACAGTGTGTTTTGGGATTTAACAGGTCCAGAGGACGATAGCTAAGCAGATTCATATGGTGAAACAGATTGGAAAAGGTCGCTACGGGGAAGTCTGGATGGGGAAGTGGCGTGGCGAAAAGGTAGCTGTGAAAGTGTTCTTCACCACAGAGGAAGCCAGCTGGTTCCGAGAGACAGAAATATATCAGACAGTGCTGATGAGGCATGAAAACATTTTGGGTGAGTAAAAGTCTATAGCAGTGTTCGGGGTTTCCTAGCTTTCCTCTCTTTTTCTGTTAACATCTGCATATTAACTCATCTGTCTAGACCAGCGATGAAATACACAGACATTGTCGTCTTGGCACGAACCCAAGGACGTCGTAAGCTTCTAATGGGAGACCTCACGGGGGGGGGATGACTAAGGCACCACTGTGAGTGAGCGGTGGGCTGGAAATGGAACATGCTCAGATATTTTTTTCTTCAGGGACAGGAAATGCAAGTGTAATACCAGAATTTCTTAGGGTTTCTTAGGGATTTGAAGGAGCACTTTTTTTGTCTAAATGTGAAAAGTTACAGGGGTTTTCTCTGCGGGGTTGGTTATATCCAGAGTTTATATTGAGAATTGATGTCCTTTTTATTTTCTCATGTTAGAGATGACCTGGGTGGATTGTTCAAGGGGAGAGAGTGTAAGCCAGTCTTGGAGTATGTGCCTATTTTGTAAACAGTGTCTCATGAGTAACTGTAATACCATGAACTGTTTACTGTTAACTTAGAAGTAATTTAAGTATGAGCTACTGATTAGAAAGGGATCCTTGCGTTTTCAGACACAAACTCTTAGAGTTTCTCTACCCTTGCTATTTTGATTGTCTCTGATTGGTATTAGTAATTCAATACTGTCATAGCCACAGTCAGAAAACTGAATGGAATGCCAAAAAGAAGACACCCATGGCAAAGAATGATCGTTGAAAATATGAATGACCCTGATGATATTCAGAAAGCATGTAGCTCCTCATCTTTTTGTCTCTTTTCCTTTTAGGGTTCATTGCTGCAGATATCAAAGGGACGGGGTCCTGGACCCAGTTGTACCTAATCACAGACTATCATGAAAATGGCTCCCTCTATGATTACCTGAAGTCCACCACCCTGGATACTAAGTCGATGCTGAAGTTGGCATATTCTTCTGTCAGTGGCCTGTGTCACTTACACACCGAAATCTTTAGTACTCAAGGCAAACCAGCAATTGCCCATCGAGATCTGAAAAGTAAGAACATCCTGGTGAAGAAAAATGGAACTTGTTGTATAGCTGACCTGGGCCTGGCTGTTAAATTTATTAGGTTAGTATCAGGGTGAACAAATATGCTTTTTATGGTTCTTTTCTATCACTTTCTGTACATGATACATTTTGTAGCTCAGTGCTTCTAGGATCTTTAACAGAGGAGGAATTTTATTCATTTCAACTTTTCTATGGAGGGAAAAAGAAATATTTTCTTTGCAACAAATGAAGTGGGTCAGTCCTGTTGTTTCTAAGCTCATCAGTGACCTGGCTTCAAGACAATGTTCACATTAGGTGTGCAGCTGCCGTGAAGCTGTTTAGAAAAGAGGTAGCTAATGTCTGGGATTGTGTGGTCAGAATTGTACATAATGTTTCTAAGTAGGAAAAAGGTTTTAGGAAAAAGCTAGAAATTATGTAGAGATAAAGGCTATTTTTATATGACATAAGAAAGATAACTTGCATAGGTATTCTCTGAGAAATGTTAGAAACTAATAAGCAATATACAGCTTGTAATCAGCACTATTATTACTGTAGCTTGAACAGTGAATGTGATACCTGGACCCATAAACCAGCACAGGATATAAAACAGTTGTTTTCAGACCCCTGGGGGCCCTTTGGAGGTAAGTTGATAGCTTCTACAGAATGGGGAGGAGGAACGCCCCATGGTTGGAGCTCTGTTTTGCTTACCCTCATTCTATTCATAGCAGCTCCTTTTATCTTGCAGATGATTTAATTACAAGCAATGCTTCTGCTTTGAAAACAAAATGAGTTTGCAAACTGCAGGTGTAGAGGGATCCTCAGATACCTACCTTTTTAAAAACTCAATTCAGGCTTAGCTTTGATTAAATTGTTGGACCCTCTTTTGGAATTTTTCCAAAGAAGGCTCTGTAGAATATAGAGAAGGGCCCAAAGGAAAAGCCATGATGAAGAGTAAAACTAACAAGAAAGGACTATTGGATTGGTGTTTTCACCCAGGAGTGAAGACTGAGGTGTGGTACAATGAAAGGTCCCAAATATATGAAGGTCTTAAGCATTTAGAGGGTGGCGGATGCAAGTTCTCAGCCTTTAAAAACAAAGCTGGAGAAAAATGATTTGGACTATGGATTTAAGTTAGAAATGTGAACCTCCTGCAGTATAAAGATTATTAAATCCTATCTCTCTATCTTCTGAATTCTTTTTTCTGACCCACAACCTACAAGTCTCCTCTACTGTGAAAAACTTTCCTATGATGCTTCTCAGATTACCAGCCTGTCTCCTTACTTCCCTGTTAAATTTCTCGAGAGTTCCAAAAGAGTGATCTGCTTTCACAGCCCAGTAATTCATAATACCTTGTGATTGGCTTCCACTCATTCTCTCCTGAAGCTCCTTTACTGCGGGACACACTGATCTTTGTCACCAGAAGCCTTTCTTACTGTCGTCCCACCCGCCGCGGCGCCCGCGCCTTTCTGCCTCCTGTGTCCGTGATGGGCCTTTATTCCAGGTTCTCCTCCTTTGTCTCTGTGGGTTCTGCTCTCTGTCTGTTTCTTAAATGTTACCCTACGTCTAGGTTTCCTGCTGCTTATGCTTTTCCTCCCTAGCTCCCAGCTTTGGTTGACCCTTTCTAAAATGTGTGGTTCCTGGCACTTCCCTGGTTCCCTAGGTTTCTGATTTGCTCAGTTGAATGAATTCTATCTCCATGATATTCCCACTTGAACTGGGCCAGTTGGGGTCCTCCCTACCAGTTTTCTAGATTCTGGAGTCAAGCATTTTGTAGTTATTTCCTCTTTGTCTTTCCTCCTTCCAATTTTTTTCTACATGCTGCTGCCAGATTTATTTTCTTGGAGCATAATTATGAACACTGTAGTAATTTCATAATTTCCTATGGCTTTGGGTTAAAATGTAGTGTCTGTTCTGAACACTTTATACTGTCTCACACTTTCAAGTATTTTTAACATGCTTTTATCTCTGTCTGAATACCCAACATCCCCTCCTCTATTTCGATAACTACTCCTTATCTTCACAGTTTCTTCCTTTGGGATACTTACTATTACTCCCTGGCATGCCTGAATGTCGCTGAGTTTCCTTACACCTTTCCTTGTGACCCTGGTGTGCTCTCATGACACTTCTCATGCTGTCATATGGTAATCGTTGACTGCTTATCTGTCATTCCGTTCCATGGAGGTAAAGACCATGTTGTTTTTTTCCAAGTTTACATTCCTAGGGCCTTTCCTTAGTGCCCGTTATTTAGGGGCCGCTTCAGAATTTTGCGTAAAGGATGAATGAATGAGTTCACGTGGATTATAGGGTGAAGGAAAAAGGTATTTTTTCTTAGCTTCAGAGATCTAAACACACCCTGGATTAAATCCACTTTTCTAGTTTTATATCCCACAAACTCTCCAACTTGTGAGCTTTCTTTTACGAGACTGAACTACTTGTGTTTTCCCCATGTGTGCTCCATGTTTGCCGCTCCCTTGCTTTTGATTGGACAGTGTCTAGCTTGGAATGTCCTTGCTTCTCCATGGACTGTAATCCAATCTCAGAGTTGCCTTTAAGTCACTTCACTCATCCCCCAGCTAGGAATAATGACAGCATCTACTCTACGCCCGTGGTAAATTCCTGGCCCCAGTCTGCCTGATATTATAATTATTTTAGTACATGCCTCGTCTTGCCCTGCTAGTCATTGGGCATCTTGAGAGCAGCATCCATGCCAAGTTGATTAACGTGTTTCCCATTTGACGTGACGTAGTGAGTTACCCATTATAGGTGTTCTGACATTGTTTTCAGTCAGTGAATGTTGGCAATATCAAAGTAAGAGCTCATCATCTTTATAGACCTTAAAACAGACAAGGAAAGTGAGTATCTATTTCTGAAACTTAGTTCTGCTTAATGTAAGGGGAATGAAATGAATGAACTCTCAAATTTCATGCAGACACTGATTTAGGAAGTGGAAGGAAATACTTCAAGGGATAATTCAGAGATTTATTTGACATATATTGACTAGTTCATCAAGAGAGGAAGGATATGAAAATACTGTATCATGTGTACAAATGCAGTGGCTGTTGGACGCCCAGACCTCTGACGGCTGAAGAGCAGCTTTGGGACCGCTTTACCATTCTGGGCCTCCATTTCCTCTACGTTAAATGGAGGTTGCATTTGGTAATTTAAAGTCCTTTTCACATTTTTATTTTGTATGTTTCAAGGGAACTGTGGTCTCAATTTTGAAACTCACTTTTAAACTTTGCTATATATGTTTCTTTGGTTTTCACTCTTTTCCTGACTTTCCTGTTTGGAGGAGGGGTGTGGTACATGTGTGCACACAGGTATTTACAGCACTTTATTACAAGTGGGGTTAAAGCTACCCCAGTGTTGAGTTCTCAGACTTCATATGTGAACTTCTTGTGAGAACTTAATCTTTACCTTGGTCTTGATGTGGTAAGTGTTCCCTCAGGCTTTTAAGTCATTTCTAGGGGGGTTCTCAGGGAAGTTGAGAGGCACAGAGAGAATGGACTGTGTGTTAGAGATTTCCTGCTCATTTAACTTTTTTATCCTGTATTGGTTTCTTCATGCACTCTCTTAAAAATGATATAAGTGCTGGTGCATTTCCTGCCCGATAGAGATTTAATCCAGTGATGCTGTGGCAGACATTACTGTCACCCCAGATCTCTCTTGGGAAGAGAAAACAATGACACGTGAAATCCCTTGAGGAACTCACAGAACTTTTCACTTTTCACTCTGGAGGATCAAGCAGCCCCTCTGGTACTTAAGTGTCAGAATAATATATTTTCTTAGGGGAGAAATAAATCCCGGCTTAGGGCCTCCCAGGTATTAAATTTTAAATAGAAAACCTGCAGTGAAGACTAGGCAGTAACAGATCTCCCGACTGATGACTGTGGAATTGTCCAAGTGCAAAGGAGACGGAATGGCCTGGCCCAGAGGGTACTGAATGTCCTCAGAGTATTTTGATGTCGTTAATTTTAGCACTGCTCCTGGTTTGTTTTCTTAAAAAGTGACACGGTTCAGTGACTGGCCAGAGTCACAGACCAAGCTGATTGGTGGCAGAGTCAGCACTCCCAGGCAGAGTTTCTGCAGCCATATCCACCTGCTGTTGAAGAGTTTTAATGTTAAGAAACCCTGAGATTTCTTGTGACTTAACCATAGGAACAAATAATTCTGTTGAAAAGTGCTGTAGAAAACTCTTCCTCACTGGCTAACATCTGACTGGGCAGAGCTCAATTCAGCAAATCAGTTCCACGGGTGTTTGCAAGATGCCACAGGAAACAGAGGATGTGCACAGCCCCTTCCCCAGAGGGCTTGTGAGCATACTTCATGCTCTGTGAGGTCACTGTCATCTTTCTAAGAGGTGATTCAGTGTTCTCGGGTATATTTCATGTGTAGCTAATTTCAGACATAGTTGTAAGCCACAAGCCAACCAATGGCCTCGCTCACAAGTCTTTTGCCCCAGCCCTTCTTGTTCTTTAAAGTTCAGTTCTTATTTTTTTTAAAAGCTTTTTATATTATTAAAACTGTACAATGTTTGCTTCTCTTCTTTCTCTGTTACCTTTTTATCTCTCTTCTCCCTTCCTCTGCTCTCCGTTTAAAGCATCAGCAACGTCCAGCAGAAGACCACCTACATGTGCCCAGAGGCTCGGTGAGGTCGAGCCAGCTGGTTGATGGTCAGCCCAGTTCCTAAGCTGGCTGTGCGTCTGATTGTGTGAAACTCCCTCTTCAGTAGCTGGTGCCCTGGGAGTGTGTGTTGCGCTGAGCCAACCATTGGCTTCTTCCCTCATGTAACGCTCTTGCGAGAATTCTCGCTATCGATTTATGATTAGGAAGCTTAATTAACATGAAAATAATTAATATAATGTAAAGTTAATTCAGGTACTATATTTTTAAAGATTCCCCTTTATTCCCTGTCACCAAAATACAAATCTTCTGCCTACCCCTTTTCCAGTGCACAACAGACCAGAGTGCAAGGCCCGTGCTGCCCCAACCGAGTCCCACAGGGGCTCAGGTCATTCGTGGGCCCCTCAGGGTCCTGGCGGGAGGCCCCTCTTTCAGCCTTTCTGCGCCCACAGGAGCTCTTTGATTCTTTCCCTCAGTTACACGAACACCTGCCATGCATGTGCCCCTATAGACGCCAGCACTGGACCTGGGGACAGGCAGTAAGGGGGCTGCACTGTCTTAGACAAGAAAAGTGATTAAATTATTACCCTGCGCCCAAGTTCTAAACAATGTCAGTGATAAACAGCATCTCCCAGTAGAGCCCGTTGCTTCTCCATCCTCTCCTTAGTACGGCCGCCTCTCTGTCTTCTCTCTCAATATCACAGGCAGCTTTGCTCCCCTCCCGAGCCTGGAGCAGTTGTGAGAACTCGCCCTTTCTTCGTGGTCCCCCAGGCGGGAGAAGCCACTCAAAGTGTGCGTTCTTATAGGAGGCCGTTTGTCCTCAGGGCGACCTCCTCCTTCATTACGCTGGCGCTTTCTTTATTCTCCTGATGTCACCCAAGTGATGTGAGTCAGTTTTTCATGCCTCTTTATGGAACCCCAGCTGAGGCACCTTGCTTTTTGAGGTTCAAGTAAAATTAAACTCTGTTATCCCTGTCCTCCCTAGTCCAGTAGGGAATTCAGTATCATTCACAGTGTGTCTGTGGATCCTAAGAGGCTCCTTTTCTCTTTGCCACACCAGCCTGCACCTCTGATATGTGCTGCCCCTTTTCTACATGATGTAGCTACTGCTTCTTTTCTTCCTCAAACTGTTGGCTCAAGGTTGAAGACATCTTACGGGGGTGTGTTGCAGGGAATTGCATGAAATTTAGTTATAAAATTCATGCTACCAGAACATTTTCCCTTATTTTTTATTCACCTTGATCCCTCCCAGAGGTAACCAGTACCCTGAAGTTGGTATTTATCTTTGCCATATATGATTTTATAATTTTCACATGTATGTATGTTTGTGGCCACGCAGTGTGCAGGATTATTTTGCGGATCTGGAGTTCTTTCCTCCAACTGTGCCCCCTGGTGCGGAAACCTCAGCTCTCCGGGTCCAGTCTCTGTGGAAGAGGAAGGCGGGGAGGGGGAGCTGAAGGCACCTTGACCTTCTCTGCCTCCTCCTTCCTCCTTGGCCCTTTCGTGCAGTTACCTCACACCTGTTCTCACCAGCTCTGCACCGTCAGACTGCACTTCCGGTCCCTTTTTCTTCCTGTATTCTCGTGGCCCCAGTGTTAAATCACTGTAATTTCTCTTTTTGACTTTGAAAGTTAATGCATGTTAGCTTTCCTCTGCCCTTATTTGGGAACAGGTAAGATGATGTGACCGGAGACCTGGAAGAGGATTGCCATTTTATTACTTTCAAGTAGAGAAGCCCTCCCAAGGGAGGGAGAGGCAGAGCTGAGTGTCTGAGGATCGGGTACTTTATAATATCAGATAGGAATTACTTGTAATTAATAGGTTTATTGTTTAAATATTATGTTAAAGGCATTTGTCATTTGGCTGATAGTCATCTGTTACAAAATTAATTTGCCTAACAAAATTCGATTTATTCTCCTAGATATCTGTTACGTCTCATTTTAGGGTCTACATATAATGGAGATTTTTACATTTCTCTTTAAATCATCCATAGTAATGTTTACTGTAAAAAAAAAAAAAAAACCTTTCCCCTCTTTCATGTAAAGGATATTCTTTATCTCCCATGTGCAAGGCCCACTGTGAATGGAGATGGATGGGGCCTCTGCTCTTTGGGGACATAGCAAATGATTAGGACAGTTGTTCGGGGCTCAGAGGAGTTTACAGTCTTAGGTTGGAATATGGATGTTTACTGAGATACTACAAGGGAGAACATTTATTCAGATTCTTCTCAGGGCAGATATTTATTCAAATGCTCCCAGAGGAGATGTTTATTCACGGAGTATCAGGAAACCCCTAGGATGGGGAGAGGAAGGTGAAGGAGGGACCAGGTGCCGAGCACGCATGGCCTGTGTAAGGAACTGGTTTCAGAGGATTTGATGGATGAGCAAAATCCTTGATTGTGTGTTTTTTCAGTGTTTGAGGGAATGAGAGTTTAGAGGTGAACCAGACATGGTCTGGCCATCACAAATCTTAATTCTGTTACCATCAAGTAACAATTACCTTTTACTTTTCCAATAGATGTCTCCATGTCACAAATTCCATTAGCCCTCCCTGACCTCCCAAATCCAAATAAGACGTTAAGGAGCTAAGTGTATAAGAATGGAAAGGAACTGCCTAACGTCTTTATCAGCTGTGATCAGAGTATATCTTTGGCTTGAATACACTCTGTGGGTCCCATACTAAGACTGTTCTGAGTTCCCGGTCCATGTTCTGGAGTATAATTTAGGCCCTTTACCATCTTCTTTCCATCTGCAAGACCCCATGGTGGTTTCTCTGCATGAACCCAGAATTCTCTACCCAAGCCCACCACTGTCTTCCTCTGGTGATTCAAGGTGATCAATAACACATGCACATAACACATTAATGAATTACTGACTGTGTGGTCACATGAGCGATGTCAGTGGGTAGAGGAGGAGGAGAGAAATTAGAATTGAAGCTGGAGCTTTTGTGGCATCTTTTAAATCTGGTATTTTTCCAAGTTATCATTAACTTCTCAGCTCATGTTCCTTTCTTAAGCGATGTACTATTTAGGTACACGAGTGACTTATTCTATTGCATCATGCTGGTAAATTCTGAGATTCATTTAAACTCTTGTTCTAGCCTTAGAAAAGAGCCCGGAACACTGAAACCTACACTTACAGATGGTAGGGAGTACCAGCTCTTTAGCCTTTTTCATCTAAAAAAAAATGCCACAGTAACTTTTATTTTAGGAAATCAGGCTTTTCAGAGTTGTTGCTTTTAGAAAATCCGGAGGGGCCTGAAGAGCATCCCGGTGACACATCTGATGCAATTGCTTTAGGTTAAAGGTTTTAGCTGCAAGTGAATTTTAAATGGCTGTAAAAATGAAGCTTTGTAAGTTTTAGTAAATGGACTCAGTTCTGCAGTGTACAGAGGGACATCTGCCACCCTTTGCGTTTTCCCAAATGACACTAGATATTTTATGTCCTAGAAGACAGAGATTGAGGCAGTGAGATCAGATCCAAAGGTTTTTTCTCCGAAAGCCACTAGTGTTTTGCCAAGTTTGCTGCTGTCTGTGACACAGTGTGATAAACGTGGAAGTTGATATATTCAGCTGTTTTCCATGTTGAGAAAAACAAATATGTAAATGCTTGAGAGTGGAGTATGATGAAAAGAAAAAGAAAAAAACTCTTTCTTGGGATTCAGGAGAGAAGATTTATCTGAGGTTTTACACGAACTTCAGTTTAATCATGAGGTTTGGTACCTTTTCTGTTTTATAGTTTCTTCATCCATCAAAACAGGGGCTTACTGCTCCTAAGTTCCACCAGATTCTGTTGAGGTGCAGGACTGGTTGCACTTGTGATATGTGCTCAGGACTGTGCTAGTAGCACTTTTACACTTTCCTCTCATTTCATCGTCAGCCTCTCAAGCAGCCATAGTTCAACAGCTTTGAAACACGGGTCCGTAGCTCTGGCTCCAGCTCGCTGCCCCGAGGCAGTGGTTTCCACCTGCTGGTCTGCAGGTTGGTGTCCTTCCATCATGAATTTTCTCCCCATCCAAGGGAAATAATAATAAATGGATCGTGTGAAATTTTCCTAAAGCTGAAGATATTATATTGGAAAGGAATTATTTTTTTACTAAAAATACATGTTATTTGGTTTATGAAATAATAGTGATAATATAAAGCTTTTCTGTAGGTCCCTGCTTATCAAAGTAGAACATTTGAAAATCTTTGTAGGTCCTCCCCTCCCATCTCTGTTTACTTGTTTGTAGATAGAAAAGCCTCACAACCATTGGCTTAAGAAATACCATCTCAAACAAACCGAACAGGCACGTGCACATGGCACATGGTTAAGAGCAAGGCTACTGAAGTATGAAGGGAATGATGGTACTTTTAAGATATTTAATAGACATTTAGCAATAATTTGGTTTATATTTGCTCCAGTGGCAAGGCAGCCCTGTATGCTGCAGCTTCATTCTGACTGTGTCATCCTCATTGGATTTTCTACCTGTGAGTGTTTAATTTAACTTCGGGCAGGAAATATTTTTCAAGGAAATGTTACTTCCCGGGGGCAGCCTTACCCCCGGGCCGGGCGCCGACGCAGCCGTCCCGGGCTGGACCCCTTCAGCGCTGACCGGGCTTTGCGCTCTTCTTTCCTTAGCGATACCAACGAGGTTGACATCCCGCCCAACACTCGGGTCGGCACCAAGCGCTACATGCCTCCGGAAGTGCTGGACGAGAGCTTGAACAGAAATCACTTCCAGTCCTACATCATGGCCGACATGTACAGCTTCGGCCTCATCCTCTGGGAGGTGGCTAGGAGATGTGTGTCCGGAGGTGAGTACCGGTGATCCTGTGGCAGCCCCCGCACACCCTCTCTTTCTGGTCAGAAATCAGAGCTTTCCCATTGTTTACAAAATCAAATTCTATTTTATTTTCCCCTTTATTTCTGATGACGTGGTCTCAGTCCTCCCAGGAAATGATATTTAACATCGTAGAAGGACCTTTGGCTGCCTCCTTCCCCTCCTCCTCCTGACGAATCTTTCCTAGACACGCTGTCAGCGTCCTCGTGCCCTTTCAGATGTCACTCCCTTCCACTGTAGGTGTCGTCTCGCTTTCCTCTTCAGCTCTTCCTCCAGCAGTTGCTCCGTCAAGTCAAACTCCTTTCCCACCCCTTCCAGCCTCTTCTCACCAACCTACTCCCCCCATCCCCCGCCATCAGTGTCCTTTCCCTGTGTCTGCCTCTGCACAGATGAAGGGAGGGACATAAAAGTGGCATGGGATGCCCATGGTTTAATCCCCCTGCTTCTTCACTTTCCATAATACTTCCTCATACTGCAGTTTGAAAATATCAGTTTGCATCAAAAGGAAATTAACCAATAAGAATGTTATTATCGTTCATGATAACTTTTCTACGAAACGTAGGGATCCCCTAGGAAGACTAAGAAGACATCCTTAAACTTTCGGAGGTGTTACTACTGCTGGCAGTGTTTTGTTTACTGCTGCATAATCTGTCCGAGTAGATTTCAGCGTTTTAGGTGAGGAGCTGAGTGGTCGGCTCTTCAGCATCAGGGCCCCTGTTCATGCCTCTCCTCCTCCTCGTGCTCCTGAGGAGACCTTGGCGCTTGCTTTCCCTTGGTGGCTAGTTCCTCACTTTAGCGAAAACTTGAGCTGAAGTGCACGCGCTTAACTAGTCCAGGGGTTACCTCTGGGACCTGCCATTTATTATTCGTGAACCTTTGACAAGTTACCAAACTTTTGTTTCAGTTTTCTTATTTTCAGAAGAGGTGAGTCGCTGTGTCTACCCAGATGGTGGTTGTGAGGCTTCAGTGATTGTACAAAGAATGGAAGCCACCTGGCTAATAAACAGCACTCAATCCACGTACAGTACAAACAGCCGTTTTGAATTTTCATTTTGGTTGGTAGAACCTTAACTTACACTTAGATTCATTTTTAAATATGGAAGAGAAACAGTAAACCAGCAGGCCTCCCACTTTTGTAGAAAGATCTTCGGTGATGCGGTGCCTTCTGACTGTGCCCCTTACAAGCAATTTAAAGTAGAACACGTTCCCTCTAAATTTCCAAAAGGAAATTTAATATAGGAACGTTTTCCTAGCCCGGTATTTTATAAATCTCCCATCATAGTTACGCCTTCATGCTGTGGTAAGAATAGATGGGCCTGTTTTTGAGCTGATTGCTTACACTTAGTAAGACAGGTTTCTAGAAGTAAGGGGGCGGCAGGGCACAAGACTGCTTTTCTAATTATGTTTTCCTGAGCACCCAAAGTGAGTCGGGCTATGATAAACCTGTATTTGAAAGCCTGTGGGTTGGAATAAAGGAGAAATGATTATCTGCTTAAAACATAAGCCAGTCTTAGGTAAACAGCGGGGTATTAATTGCTTTGCTAGGGCTGTCCTGGCCTGTGGAGACCGGAGAGGTACTAAAATGTTCCCTTATCTCTGTATGAGGTTGGCAGGTATTTGTCAGAGCCCAGGCTCTACCTCATACCAACTGCATGGCCTTGGGTGGGTTACTTAATCCTTCAAAAGCATCTTTCCTCATCGGTATAGTGTGGTTAATAATGCTGCCTCATACGTGTGTTTATGAAAATTTAACAAGTTATATAACATACCTGCCTCCATGTCTGGTAGATAGCAGCCTCTCTACAAATGAATCCATGCAGGTCCAGCCAGGTAGTGGTGCCAATATTAGGCACTGAGGAAAATGTGAGATAAATTAGACTGATGTCATCTTTGTCCCAAAGATGTTTCCAGAGCCACTGTCTCGAGAATTAGAAAGGGAGGAAGAATGGGCGAGTAGTGAGCATCCCCCGTCCCTTAGACCTTGTGCTCTTACTGTCTTATTTAGGGATGACACACAATGGAAGGAAATATTACCGTAAGTAATAGATATAATTAGACTCTGGGATCTCAGCAGAGTAAATGGTGACTTGAAATGATCTAAGAAAAATTTGAACCTTCTGATTCTTTAGATTATATATGGGTTTGAACTTACAAGAAAGGACATAATACAAGATTCAGATTTTTTTTTAAAAGTAAGCCCTCAGTGAATTTAATGATGCAGTGTGCAACCTGCCAACCTGTTAGTATCATCTTGTTCAGATAACAAGTGATGAAATTTGTATAAAGGATGATTTAAGATAAGGAATAAGGGTTCTCTGGAAAGATTGTTCAGAGCAGCAGCCTCTGAGGATAGAGGCTGCTTATAATTATTGTGAGGGGTTGCTCAAATAAGGTCAGAAAGAAGACACAGGTAGGCTGCTTTTTTAAAGGACAAGAGGAAAAGGTAGAAATTAGGTATTAGGAAAATGAAATGAGACAGAATTTAGCGTGGTAAGTACTATTTCCCTAAAGATGACGTTCTTTTTTATTTCTTAACTCTTCTTTCAATAGTACCTATTTTTTCCTAATAGTAATGTTTTCCTTGTAGGAAGTTTGGACAAATGCAGAAAATTTAAAGAAGAAAATAAAAATCAGACAGTCCTTGCACCTAAAAATCATGGTTGATATTTTTAGGTGTGTATAGTTTTCCAAATTTTTAATGTGCAAAAATACATTCACATGATTAAGCAGAAAAAATGTAAATCTGACATTTCATTCAAGTAGGATATACTCCTGGATTTATTATGAGATCATAATCTCTTACTGCAGTAATAGAAATAGTTACATATTGTGCAGTGTGAGTTTGGGGTGTGTCTGCGAAATTTGCACTGAGATATAATATAGATTTTTAAAAATTTGGCATACAGTATAAGAGTCTCTATAAAACTGGAAATAAATTTGAGATGCTTGTTTACTTAGCTTCTGGAAATTAGAAAAAAGGCTTGAAGACGTAATCATGTTTCATTATGCTTCCCGTTCATTTTTTTAAATTAGACTGTGTCATTTGGGCACATTTTATCAAGGTGGGTTTTTTTTTTTTAATTTTGCTGTGTTTTTTTTTTTCCAGCCTGAACTCTCTTTGATACTGATAGAACTTTCCTTTGAGAACAGTTTGTCAGACTTTTACTTCCTCTTCCCAGAAAATAATAACAGTGATAAAACTGTATTTTCAGGGATCGTGGAGGAGTATCAGCTTCCCTATCATGATCTGGTGCCCAGCGACCCCTCTTATGAGGACATGAGAGAGATCGTGTGTATCAAGAAGCTGCGTCCCTCCTTCCCCAACCGGTGGAGCAGTGATGAGGTGAGGCTGGTCACGGTGTGGCTGCAACCGAGGTCAGAACAGACTTTTCTCCTTTTTCCAAAATTCCAAACGTTTGTTACAGGAATTCTTTGCCATGGCAGGGGTGGTAACGGTGCCTCACGGGGATAATATATATGATGCTTAGTGTTCAGTTATCTGTTCCTTTCTCCTGTTTGACTTTGTCATTTCCAGACTACATTGACTGGGTCCACATAGAGCCTGCCTACCCGGTAACATTATTTCATTTGTTGGCGATGTCCTGGTGCTGTATAAAGACCATCATTTTTCTGCGTGTGTGTTTGTAAAGCATCGTGACTGTTCTCCGTGGCAAACTCACATATAGCGTTCTCTCTCTGCGACGAGGGGAAAGATAGGCACCTGAAGGATAGGGTTTCCTGTACACAGAGGTGGTACAGGTTGACCTCGTTGAGATGCCTGGCTGTGCTGGGGACCTTGGTTAATGAGGATGATGCGATCCCGTGGGAGCAGACACGTTCAGCTTGGCTCTGAGTGTGTCATGGCGAGACCTAAGCAGGTCCGATGAGGAGATGAGCTGGGCTGGCCTTGCCTTTCCTGCGCCTCCTCCACCCGCCCAGGCCTACAGAGCCCGGCAGCCCTCAGAGGAGTGGAACCTTCAGGGAAGAGTTTGAAGCATCCCCAGGAAGAAATGCACCAAAGCCAGTGCAGACAAATGGACAGAACACTGTATAAGCTAATTCTTCAATGTTAAGAAATTTAAAAATAACCTTTGGTTCATTGGTTTTGTGGCTAGCTACTGAAATGCTAAATAATACATATGTTTTCCAGTGAGCTGGGCAGAAAACTTTATGAGATGCTGGAGTTATATAATTTTGAAGGTAGTTATGGGCATTAATATTACTCAGAGTCCCTTCACTGAGGATTTCTAATGAAGTGAAATTGTGCTTTTCAACAGGAAGGCCAATAATTGAAACCACAGGAGAACACAGGAGAAAGTGGTAGTGAGGCTGTGCACAGGCCGTTAATCTTGTTCAGTGGTACAGCGTGGTGCTATTATGGTGGCAGACAGCTGTGGTTTAGCAATAACCATGTTTGTTTGGATAGTATGGAATTAGATAAAAGATTTAAACTTATCAAGTCTTATAAACAACTTGGGAGTGTGCAGTGGAATCCAGACTCCCTGCATATTTTTGTTTTTGTTTAATCTGACTTCAAAGACACCCTTCCACAATCAGCAAAGACACCTGCTCACTCCTGTCACAAGGAAGACATGAAAATCTGTTTTAGTCATTTGAAATTTGCATGAGAAAAGAATTTTTATGGAATTTTAGGTCTGCATGGTTTTAAAGGGTACCTTTTAAATATATATTCAGACTTTAGAAACCCAAAACTAAAAAGCCAGTAGCAAGCGCCACCCTTGCAGATAACACATTTCACCAGTGTAACTCCAGTTTTCCTTTGCCGTCCCGCAGTGTCTCAGGCAGATGGGGAAACTCATGACCGAGTGCTGGGCCCACAATCCTGCTTCAAGACTGACAGCCCTGCGGGTTAAGAAAACACTTGCCAAAATGTCAGAGTCCCAGGACATTAAACTCTGACCTGAGGGCAAGAAGCAGCATCTCTGGAGGAAGCCAGCAGGCACTCTTCTGTGGGTAGGCAGAGCAGGAGATGTTCCAGAAGCAGCCACAGTGCAAGCCTTGAACGCCGTCCCGTTTCCCAGCAGGCTCGGCCTTACCTCTCAGGGAGCAGCCTGCAAGGAGAGAAGTTCCCAGAAACACGGATCCATCGTGTCTGTTTGTAGGAGGGAGAAACTGCTTGGGTAACTTGTTCAAGATGTGATGCATGTTGCTTTCTAAGAAAGCCCTATATTTTGGGATTGCCTTTTTTTTTTTTAAAGATGCTTTAATTTTGCCAAAATAAAACAAATAAGGTAGATGTTTTAAGGTTTATACTATTACAGTTTAAATAATAACAACACAAGTTCTTCCCAGAAGCTCTCCTGGAAGGTAAATGCAGCTGTGTGTTGCCATGGGTACATTGTGTTGCGCTCTACCAACCAGAAGACAGTCTGTGAAGGGGGAGAGCAGCGAGTGGGACTCGTCCTGAAAGCCCCCTGCCCCCCCACGGCCCGGCGTGGCCCTGCCCGGGCCGTGTGGACGCACCTGGGTACGGACACCGCCTGGCGGGGCACAGTCTGGGATTCCTGCAGGTGACCTTCTGCAACTTCAGAGGATGCACAGAACAAATGAAGGTTTTATGTGACTCTATTAGAAGTAAATGTTGACACTAGTCTTCAGAACCACTGTGTGTTTCTGATTCTGTTAGGCATTTTCTTTCACGGTAAAATCCCTTCCTTTTCAGTAAATGCAAACAAAGCTGTTTTTATGCGCGGAGAAGTGGCCCATGCATGCTCTTGATCACGCAAGTGAAAGGATCAATATTAAGTAAAATGGCCATCAGGTGTGTGGAGGACAAGGTGCTTAAAAAAGAGAATTTGCTCTTGCGCTATAAGATGTGTCAGAAAGGTAGGGGTTGAGGGTGGAGGTGCAAATGCCTTGTTTCTTAAATACTCAGATGAGCCCTTCTCAGAAGCACCAGGGAAAAGTTGGCACACCTTACCGTGCACAGATAGAGATGGCTTCTTTTTGTTACCATCTGCCTTCTGCGTGTCTAAGTTAAGGGAAGGAGGAAACATACGTCAGGTTAATTTAACTAAATTTTAATTTAAAGATAGATAAATAAACCCTCTGGGAGAGGAGAGGGATGCTAGTGGAGGCCACAAAACATTATGGCTGCTGCGATCTGTTATCCTAGGGTAGGTATGGATCGAGTATGTACATCTGTGATAATTTCACATCTTAGGAATGCTGGCTGTTTATTTTATTCTCATGATGTTCAGTTCACTTTTTAATTTATTATTTTTTCTTCTCTGTGGCACTGGTGCCAAACATCTCTTCACCTATTCATTTCTGTGGGGTTGGACCTTTTGAGCAAAGTTGAGTCATGTCATTGACAGGGCCAGTATTCCTTAGCATAATAAAGCTTAAAATTGTATATACATCCCTTTCAACTTCATTTAATCCCTGGCTGTGGTTTTCTTTTCCATAGAAATTCTATAGTGTTTAGTAAAGAACTGGGAAGTACCTCCTCTCGCCCCTTAAAAAAAACAAAACAAGATCGTACCTACCAGAATACTCCAGAGGGCAGTGTTTTATAACACATTTTCATGTCACCACTTGGTGGCTGAAAGGTGGAGGGTTTTTGAAAGTGTGACAGCTGCATGAAACGTGGGGCCTTCTTCCTCACTTCTGAAGTGGGCCTGCAGCTGGTGACAGGCTCCTCCAGGAAGCATCCAAGGGCAGAGACTGGCTGTGAGCTGTGCTTACGGTTTGGAAAAGCATCAGGAGAAACAGTGTCCTGCATTCAGCATTCACTTCCCAGTGCTTCATAACCATGTCTCCTGGTGTAACAGAGTATTTTCTTAATCCTTGAATATGAAAAAGTTTCTCTTTTTTCACAGCTTAAGAACAGTTGGTTCCAAATATAATTGTAACCAGAATGCTGCCTTTACTGATATTAAGATAACCTGAACAGCGGTGTAAAGGTTCCTTTCTCTGGTGTTAAATCGTGTTCTTTGTGGTAGCTGAGGAGGGGTATGGGCTAGAGCTACGTGTGCTAATCATCTGAGCCCGGGGGAGAAACTTCAGTGCCTCTAATCAGGTCATCTGCAAACAAATAAGTAAACATTTAAGTTTTTGTTTCTTGACTTTCCCTAAATTTAAGTGATGTTGGGCTTACGTCTTAGGTAAAAATGTTATGTTTCTGTGTTTGGTGAGCTCTTATACATGGATAACTTCAAATCAGAATATGTTGTAGGGAAGTGATGATGTGAAAGTAAACTAGATTTCTTAGGGAGGTGTTGATTCCTGTGAAGAAGGCTAAGAAATTAAAATAGAATCCAAGTTTCCTGTATTATTTGTTTGCTTTAGAAAAAATGGATAGCTCACTTTCTAATCCACAACCCGACTGACTCACTACGAACATTTAAAAATTACTCCTGATACTTAAAAAGGCCCATTTAGTTATTATAGTCTTTCAATGAGAGAAGAATTTATTTATGAATAGATTTTTCTTTGTATCTTACCAAAATCCACCTTGCTTAGGGAATATTAAATAGTTCTTAAAGAGACTACCTACTTCCAAATAATTCATTTCGATTTTTAAATTTCTGGTAGCTCAGAGCGAATTTTATTTTATTTTTTTGTTCTGTCTTTCAGTAAACTCATGGAAACCTGGAAATAATGTAGTTGATTGCTTATTTTCAGGATGATTTCAAAGACTAAGATTTTCTTCTAATCGCTTCCCTGCAAAGGAATCCTAAAATATTACCTGTTAGCTAATATAAGTTTTGTATGCTAAGATGTTTGGGTTTATAGTTTTTGTATGTGTGTATATATTATATAAATATATATGTATATATAAATATTATGTTCAGTTTGGAGTCTGGCACAACTCCATCATGTGGATTAGAGAGTAAAGTATTATGGATGATAAAGTACTAAGTGAAACATAATATTTATTTATAAAAGGGTGTGGATTGTTCATCACAGGCGACAGTGCTATGAACACTGAGGAGACAGGCCTTTGACCTCCTAGAAAGCACCGCTCAAAAGTCATTAGTGACTGTTCTTTTTATTCTCAAAACAAAGCTTCTTGGAAAGCATACTAAGATTTTATGTACAGGGGATTCTCTGACACATTTCAGTTGCTGGGTAGCCAGGTAGAGCAAGTGCTGGGTAATGACCGATTTTCACGTTCCCGGGGTCACGCACAGTCATCACGAGTTAGTGTCCTGTGCTTTGGTCTGTTCTGGTTCTTCCTTGTTTGTAGGTGGAAAGGCGCTGAAAGAAGTCCAGTTTTTTAAACTTGAATAATTCTGTTATTACATCTCCTTAGAAAACTTAGTCACATCGCAGTGGAAATGAAAGAAGTGGCATCAGAAGTGGCTTAATTTAGCAGCTGTGATTCCTTTTGTAAAACAAAACAGAAAAACAATGCCACATTTCTTGGAGAACAGTTAGAATATATAAGGGATTTTGTTGTCTGTCTGTTTCAAAAGAAGACTCACTTGTGTTCTTTTGGGGAACCAGTGCCTTACTGAGTTTGTATTGTATATACTGTAATTATTCAGGACTAGGGAACAAACAGTTGTATTTGTTACAAATTGTATATGGCTTTGTTCTAACATTCCCCCCAATAAAACGGTTTCATTCTCGCCTTGGAAAGAACAAGTCTGTTACAGTTGGGCCTTTTTTTCCTCTTCAAAAATAGGCGGGAAAGGCAGCCGAGGAGAGTGGTGCCGGTAAGTCTGTACCTTTGGTGGCAGGAGAGCAAGACAGAAGGTCCAAGGGCTCTGGTTCTGTCTGGTTCGGAGGCACAGTTGTCTGTGGGAGAGAGGAAAGGTGGAGAAGTCGGTGGTCTGACAGGAGTGACAAGGTTTACAATTGCGTTGTGGGCGATCACAGAGGGATGGTGGCCACGCCAGGGGTGCTAACTGCATGGCTCAGTGGCTGAGCTGTGGCCTCTGGACCCTCAGACAGCCGCGTGAGTCCAGGCGTGCTCATCTGCTCGGTTCTGTGACGGTGGGCGTGTCTTGACCTCTTGGCTCAATTTCTTTCCCTTGCAGATAAGAAGATACCTCTCTCTGCTGTGTGCGGCGGTTCTGAAGAGGAAGTGAAATGATCCATGTGCCAAGCATGAGGTAAGCGCTCGACTACTACTGAATAGTAGCTGTTACTACAGACTCCTTGTGCCACTCTTTGCAAAGCTTTATGACTTAACTTTTTCATCAGTGACCCAAAACAGGCGTGGAGACTGTGGCCTGGGTTCATTTAGGGGAGGCGCAAGGCGTCAGGCCCAGGCAGCAAGGGTCATGGGAGATCAGAATTACCACCCTCGGGGGTGGCTCACATGGTCCAGGGGTGGGAGGTGATGAAAGAGAAGGCAGCTGATAGGCTGAAAGAAGCAGGTCAAAGGACAGGGAGCTGCGCCGGGGTGGAGGGGGTGGCGGGGTTGTGGGCACAGTTCCTGGGAAGGGGGCTGTGTTCAGAGGCAAGACTCCGAAGACTGAGCAGCCGGACTGAGGACAGGCTGAAGGTGTGACTAGAGGGGTGGGCGGATTTAGTTAGCAGACAAGATTGTTGGTGATGAAAGAGGAAGCCAAATACCAGGCCTGCAGATCTGTCTCTGGATTTTGAAGCCTCCGGGGATGGCGGCAGTCCAGTGGCGAGAAGGTTGCGAGGTGAGATTCTCCAGGGCTGCAGAAGCAGCGGGGTGGAAGCGGAGACAGGCCGGTGGGGCCTGCCGGCCTGACGTACGGGGGAGCAGGGCCCCGTGCATGGGCGGCGACCTGGAAGCAGCCCAACAGTATGGGAGAGATCCTGTCCCCCCGCAGCTATGAGGTCCCTGGGCTGTGGGACCACGCGGGTGTTGCTGGGGTTTCTGAGCCAGCGCCCGAGAAGAGAAGACCCTCTGCGGGGAGAGGGGGAAAGTGTTAGACTGTTTTTCCGGGGACTGGACCTCCTGGAGGGCCGAGTGGAAAGCGTGGTTTGGAGGGCATCCTTGGGAGGCGGGTGAGGAGAGAGGGAACCCAGCACGGGATGGGCACGGACAGCACAGGAAAGCGTGCATCTCAGCTACCAGGGGCTCCCTGGTTTTTGTGTGATTGGCCGTGTTTAGGCAGCTGCACTTTTGCCCAGAGAATTCGCCCCAGCATTAGGACTCAGATTTTACTTCCACCCGTGGTTTCACTTTCTCAGCTCTGGGGCAGTACACTGGGACCCTGCCTCACAGGGCTCTTGGGAGGAACAGGTAGGGTGACTGTGTGAAGCTCGTGGTGACTCGGGCCAGGCTCACAGCAGGTGCTCGTAAATGCTGGTCTCCTCCCTGGTGCTAGTTTCACAGGATGTAAAGCTAGTGACATTTACAACAAGCCAGAGTCTGCTGTGGGGACACCTCTCCCTGCCTCCCTGCACCCCTCTTCTGTATGCTGTGGGCCTCCCAGGACTCAAAGGCCGATGGGACTTTTAAGTTGCAACCCAGCTGAGGTGAATAGGGTCTTCTCTTGGGACTTTTAAGTTGCAACCTTGGTTCCTTCAGGTCACAGCAGGGTACAGGTGACCCCGCTCTCAGAACCTCGCTCCCTGCAGAGCAGTTCCTGCCCTGGGTGGTGGCATTCACTGGCTGGAGGGAGCCCTGGGCTGAGGAGGGTCTGAGCCTGCCTGTGCTGCTGCAGAGAGCCCACGTCCCAGAGCTTTCCAGTGACCGCAACCAGAGAGGGGCTCGGGCATGGACCTCACGGACTTGACTTGGAGGGTGTGTGTGCCCTTTGCTGGGTTTGGTTTTCCCTACGGGAATCCCGGCCTCCAAAGCAGGGCCCAGCGGACGGTCATGGGCTGAGTCTGCGCCACTGTGAGCTTGCTGTGAGCAGTGCTGTTTTGTTCTTTAATTGAATTTCTATTCTTCGAATGGAGCTAAATTCCCAGCCGCGGGACCCGCTCCTCCCTTCTCTTTTACCCAGGTTCTATTTCACACGTGGTCACCACTTCCTCAGCCCGGACACACAGCCAGCTCTGTGACCGGGCTGGACTGAGTCTGAGGTCCGGGGGCACCGCTGCTCCCCGAGGCTGTGAGGCTGAGGAGGGGCTGGGGCGGGAGCAGCCCACACAGTCCTCTCACTAAGGATGGGGCCACCATGTGTCCACTGCACACTTGGAGCCTTTCTCTGGCTCATCACCCTGACCAGGGGGGCTGGCTGTCCTGGAGCAAGTTGAACAGGCCTGCTTGGGCCTCCCGTTCCCGGTGCCCCATTCATTTCCTACCTGCCGGTGCGGCTGTTGGCAGACTTCCTTTAAGTTGGGGTCTCAGAGCACTGGGCTCCCACTCCTCCTCCCTGGGGCCTCCTGACCAGCCGTCCCCAGACGTCCTTCTCCCCCTTAACTGCTCACTGGTCTCCCAAGAGCTTAGAAAAACTCCCACCGCCCAGGCTACACCCCAGACCCATGAATTCAGATTCTCTAAGAGTGAGGTCCAGGCAGTGGTATTTTTTAGATCTCCTAGGGTGATTCCGAGTGTGGAGAGGCCTGAGATGCATCGTTCTAGAATCTCACTGTGGCCCCCGGAGAGGCTGTGATGACCATCCCTGCAGAATCCAGCAGGCTTTCTGTCTTACTGAAGGAACACAGTGTGAGTCTTCACACAGAGGAGGCTTTGTTACAAAGAAACAGGGGAGGCGGGACTCTCTGTTGCTTATAAATATAATTTATTACCTGTTTAAAAATTCTTCCTTACATTTTATACATGGTGGCTGACAGAATAAATGCAGGCAAATTTACAAACCCAGGGTCTGCAGGAAAGACGGGGAGAGGCAGCCGGCAAGAGGGGAGAGGCACGGCCAGGCGGGCATCCCTCACCCCCGCCGCGGACAGATCGCCCAGAGAGCACGCGTCCGCCGGGGAGCTTCTGGAAAAGGAATTGCATAGAAGGTGCAGCAGGAGGGAACTCCACAAAAGAAGTGTTCTGTATCTGAAAAGCCAAGGTCGTGTTGTGTTTAAAGAAAGAAATCCAACAAAGTACAGAACCTTAATCTGACATTTCTGCGGTTGAACTGTTCCACGGGGAATAGCAGGTGCCCGACACGCTCTTCATAGCGGACTGCTGGGGAGTTTTCTCTGACACACTCTGCTTCTCTTCTTTAGAAAGGGCAAAGAGGGAGGCCACCGACTTGCAACAGGTCAACATTAAACTCAGTGAACACATACAACACTGTGACATCCAACACACACATACATACACACGCACGCACAGAGGAGATATTCCCTGCCACTGGGCTACGTGCGTTCTGTCTGGAGGGTGAGGGAATCCCTTCCAAGGGGCGACCTGGGAAGGGGTGAAGGCGAGAGTGCAAATTGCACTCAGCTTGTCCTGATCGCCGTCCTCTTTCTTTCTCAGAGCCTGGAGGAGTTTGCATTTGAATGTATACCCCTGCATTTACAGGTGTCATAGGGACCCTGAGCATATAAAAGGGCGAAGGCACTTCCCACTGGCTGTAGATTTTGTGCTCTTTCATGCTGTTCTAAACAGGCACAACACCCAGGACATACTGCTCAGGTCATGATTCTCTGAGGTTGTGCTGATGATCAGAGGTCAAGGGCTCATCAATTCTTAGGCTGCTGATCAGCAAAATTTGCCTACGATTCACGTTCTAAACTCCAGAACTGAGGGTTATTTCACCCCAGGTCGGTGCCATCGGGTTTAGCAGCAGCTCTGATTAGTGCCAAGCCCAGCAGAGCTTTGGAATTTAAGGTTGGCATGTAGGATTAAAGCATATTTGTAAAAGATCCTGAAGTGTTAATGGCCTTCAGCAATGCATCCTTTCGCTGAGGCACAATCTGAAATGGCACGTTAGCAGGCTGGTGTACAGGAGCAGAGGCTTCAGCTGGTGGGCAGCTGACTGTGTCTCAGGGCACCGTTCTTGTTTTCCACTCAACAGCTGGTAGGCCAAGACTCTCGTGACGTTCTGCAGGGATTCCTGACTTGGGATTCTGGAAGATCTCTGGACAGACCTTGCGCTGTGCAAGAGTGTAAGTACACGGCAGGCTGGGAAGCAGCCTCTGACACCCGCTTGGTTTTGTGTGCTCGTGCATTTGTGCAGGCCTGTCTGTCTGCCCTCCTGGCAGCACCTCCCCTCTGTGTTAAAATAGGGCGAGGCGTGTATGTTACATGTGGTTGAATGAGCCCGTTAATATCCTACCTGGAGATCAACACAGGGAGGTGACAAGCCCACTGTAAAGAGAGCCATGAACTTTTCTGAAGACAGATGTTTAGAGTAGGATTTCCGAAAATGAGGGCAAGCACACAAGGCTGATAAGACTAAAGGATCAGGAAGTTAATTGTTAGTCTGAGGGGAAACCCGCCCGGTGACATACAAGGCCATCTCCCTACTTTTGAAAAATAGTTGGTTTCAGTCATGAATTCTGGAAATATTTATGATTCCATTTGGCTTACTTGACCTGTATGGACACAGGCTTAATTTAACGAAGGTTACTATGTATTTATTCCCCTTATGCGTTATTCCATTAAAAAGATCATTAGCGATGCAAGGGAACTATTTCAAAGTGATCATTACAGCCAGAGATTAAACAGATAGATTTCTTGGGGTAAAGAAATAGCACTCCATTGCACAGAGGCAAAGTTCTGAGGATTTCAGTCAACACTAGCTCAGTCAGGTTTAAAAAAAAATACACGCACACAAACAATCCAAAGAAGCAAAGTGTAACAGTTGGTCCTATGAGGCGCTCGAAAGGTGAATCAATGTTGTATTTCTTTGAGATAATCAATAATAAAAATATTTTCCTTATGGGATCCATAAAATCTAATGCTCCTTGACCCTTATAATCATCTTTACAAATAACTGGCTTTGAGCAAAGGCATTCTGATTCACAAAAGCTCCTCTGTTCTCAAAGAAGATGGATAAAACCTAACTTCACTTTGGCTGTTTCCAGCCATCCTGTCTCTCATCGGCTTTGGCCTTGCACTGAGCTTCTCCGTGCGAAACTGCTAACTCGTCGAGAACAACTGTTCAGCAAAAGCCAAAGCTCCCATTCAAGCTGAAGACTGAAAACTCGACAAGTGAATGTCTTCTACCTACTTGGCGCTCTCCTGCAGGTCAGTACTTTTACTTGCTTTGCCTCCATGGGGGCGGAGCGTGTAGCGGCAAAGGCTTGTGAGTTCTGGGGAGACGGGTGTTCAGCGGCTGCCTTCCTCGGACGTGACTGCCAGAGGGGTAAGCAGACCAGGAGCGCAGCGGCTGTGTCCCTAACAGGGACACACGGAAGCAAGAGCCTTGTCTGCTGCTCTCCGGAAGTCAGAAATCTCGACTCTACCATTGGGATGTTTACTTTGAAGGTATTTCACTTATAGGAGAAACACCTCTGTGAAAACACTGCTGACTGTGGTTTCCAGGGTGCTGTGGACTCAGTCTCCATGATGTCTCCCTGAAGAACGGTTCTATGGTTTGAGTGCTGGCAGGTTAAAGTCTACGAAGTAACAGTATGTATAAAAATGGCTGCTGGCTGTGCACTTCAGTCACGGACGTCTCACCCCAAATGCGGCCCTGCTTTAGAGGCGCTTACATGGCTCATGTGAGGATGGGGATTTTTCTGCGTAGCTGAGGTGAGCATCCCCGCCTGTGTTCATGCTGTTTATGAAAAGGCTGTTGGCTGTGAGCACCTCGGTGTTACGTATTTGGCATCGCCTTGTGCCCAGTTATCAGTTCTGAATCTAACTTCTGTTCCTCCCAAATCACTTTAATCTGCATGAGTTTGGTGAGAGGAAAATGAAAACAGAATGAAACCTCTGCCTTTAGATCTCCAAATTCAGAAGAAAGGAAGCTAATTTCTTCTCCTTGAGTAACAACCACAATTTTCGCTTCATTGGACATAATACTTTCATTTGCATATATAAACCTTATTTCTAAGTGGATGCTTCTTCCACTCCAAAACTAATTGTTAGAGAACTAAAAGAAAGATGATTTAAAACACATAAAGCCCAATGAAAAATATAAGTGTTAAGAACAACTCTTTAAAAACTGTTTTGTAAAGATTGATATGTATTTCTATTATTTCTATAACCAAAATCCAACTTGAGACACGTTGTGTATCAATGAGTAACATACTAGGTTCATAATGACATAATTTTTGATATGGGAAATTCAAGTGAAAAAATGTGAGAATAAGACAACTGTACTTGAAGTGAGCCTTTCCCCACACCTGTTTGTCATAAAGGTCCTGTTGACTCTACAGGTTTTCTTTTCTTTTGTCAGACAGCTTTTCCTGAGTTTTTCTACCAAACTCAGGGTAGATAGTGTTGTCTACCACTAGATGGCACCAGGCACAAGTGATAGATTTTTTTTTTCCTTCCAGATGAAGTCAGCAGCTCTTTCCTCACAAGCTACATAGAAGCGCTAGGAATTAAAGGCAGGATGTGTCACGGAAGGGCTGATGAAGTAACTCCCCATGTGCTGGACTATTGAGTCTGCACCTTCTGCATTTGAGAGCAACCTAACAGCTGGTACTTCACTCCTTACAAGAAGGAAATCAGAACTTGCAGTGAAAATTATTTGATATAAATGTGTTGGACATACAGACATGGACATTCAGTCGATAGGGAACATGACATGATGGGGTCCATGACAGATAAGTACCTCACTTACAGGGAATCAACTGTGCGTCCCGTTTCAGGTGCTGAGATGTAGAACCAAAAAACACGAAGCACCTGAAGGGAACCCCTAAGGCCCTCAATGGCTTCGAAAATGCAGTTCCTGCTAGCTTCTGTATTTCTGTTGATGATCTTTTAAGTCAGTTTTGAAATTGATTTATCTGGATACTATCTATTTGCTCCTTTCTCCTTTCTACTTTTTGCTTTTTTTGTTTTTAAAGATTTCTAATTGTTGACTTCCACAGATGAGAGTGGCCCAAACCAGTAATAAGCAATCTTGAGAAGTTATTTCAAGATGCAGCAATGGACAATAACTTTCTTTTCTCCTCCTCATTTTTAAAAATTATATATTTAAAATTTGTTTTATGTAGAATAGCTTTACTGTCTTTTGGTCACATATGCATTGCTGTAAATGTATTACTATCCACTGAACTTGTTTATTCGTGCAGTCTTTCCTTTTCACAACCAGTGTAATGTATTTTTATATGTGGTACAGGGAGTGGCCTGAAAGAGAGACTGGGCTGTATCTCTGAGACAGAAGAGAAGAAATGAAAGGTATGAAAGAAAAAGCTCCCTAGCAAAGTATTAAGTTTCTCAATGATGAGGATGGAGAAACCTGGGAATATCAAAAGTTACCAAAATAGTTAGGAGAGGAAATTATATGTGGAAAGAAGGGGGAAAATGTATAACATTATTTCTAAATCAAATCCAGCCAGCAATCTCGATACCTTCATCCCAAAAGTAAACCACAGCTATGTTTTGAAAGTTCTGATTCATACGTATGGGTGCTTGTTGTTCAGTCTTGGTTTGGCTCCTGACTCTTTATTTCCCACCTGCTGAATGAATGGTGTCTCTGTGTTAAAACAAAGAGCCTGTGGTCCTAAGGAAATATCATAGTTACAAAAAGTAGTCTGGTGACTGACTATTTTTCAGTTAAAAAATTTTTTTAATTAAAAAATTTTTAACCAAAACAGTAATAGAACATAATTTGCAACTAGTCAGAAAGGCAAGTGGTCCCAAGAGAGGAAAGAAAGTGATGATTAAGGGATGTCATCTCCGGGTGAACAGCATGATGCAATGACACAAAGACGAGACTTGAAAGCATAACAAATATGTTACAAGTTAGAATAATCATCTTCAAAGTTGGAGCTACTTGAAAGGCATAACGTAGCCTGGGCAAAAGACAGGGTGATTCTTTAAATGATCCAGGTCAGCGTCCATTGTGGTCTTCACAGTGATGAATGAGACCGGAGGCATCACAGTGGAAGTCCAGCATTTTTGAATCTTGAGTGGATCTAATCCTACCCCTTCCTTCTACAGGTGAGGAGACTGAGGTCCAGTGAGGGTAAACGACTCTCCCAAGGTAGCACAGCTAGGCAACAAGAAACCCAGAATGAGAACTGGTTTCCTGATTTCCAGGTCAGAAGCTGTCCCTCCAACCACACTGCCTCCACAGCAGACAGAGGACCAACGGGCGGCGTGTGGGGCCACGTGACCACAATACCGAGTGAGCCTTCCTGGAGGTGCGTCCCATGACAAGACTCAGGACAAAGCCCCTTCCTGAGCACGTGGAAGTCAGCACGCATGACACCTTTCCAGGACAGAGCGGTGGGAGAAAGGTAAGAGGTCAAGGAAGCGACGCCTGTTTAATTAAAATGGTGACCACGCCCACCCTGTTGCGTGAGAAGGTGCGCGGATCTAGTCAATAGCTAAACGCTAACAGTACTGCTAACAAAACAGAAGTTAAAGAAAATCCTTGTACTAGAATACTTGTAAATACTCATCAATAATAATAATGATAATACCTTTAAAAAAACACTTCAAATTGCATATTACAAACACACATGTTGTGAAGAAACGCTTGTTCGTGTGGCTGAACATGAATCACTGTCTTCCTGCGAGGCTACAGCTTTACTCCCCGAGGGCAGGAGGTGGGCGCCCTCAGGGAATAAGGCGGCTTAGCTATTTCTCCTTTACACTTAGATTCTCCACGTCCCTGATACAGACAGTAACACGGGTTCTACAAGTTCTAGAAACAGAACACTGACGGGAAGGTTATCTGAGACACTTGATGCACACGATTTGTAGGAAAAGTCTGTGATGTCTCTGTAAGTTACTAATCTGAGAGAGACACAGCAAACCATCCACAGCTTCAACTCCAAATGATTTAAACAAAAATAGAACGAGCCATGGACAATGTCTGCATCCCTGTCCAATTTGATGTAAACAACGTTTGTAGAAACTGGGTTTGTTAAGAAAGTTTATCCATATATCTGGATAGCAATAAAAAGCGTTTCCTAGGAAACTGTAAGATCCTGTACCACACAGCATACAGCCCAACTAAGAGGAAAATTAGGTTGATTTCTAAATTCAAGATACACATTTGTACAACTGTTCTTAACTCCGGTGACGACGTCCAAGCCGGGCGGCCATGGGTAGCGGCAGTCGCCTGCCCGCCTTCTCTCCGCCGTGGCCTGGCCTGTGGCGCTCACTGGTCCTGGCTGGGCTTCCTGCTCAGCCGCACTCCCCTGGGCGGCCGCAGCCCCTGTGATTCTCGTCCTGCACTTTCAGCCCCAGCCTGGGTCAATACTGCCCTTCGGCTGCGAGAGACACTACTGTTTCGTGTCTTCCCATTTCTTCCAAGACAGCTGCCAGCACACTCAGGTTTCCATCGGGGAAGTTCTGCGCTTCCCAAAGATCCAGGATGACGCCAGTTGGGCTTGACTTGGTGGCAAAGTAATTCAAGTACCTGTGAATGGTAACGGGAAGATGTGCTGAACGGTGTGATTTATGGACCTAGTTTCCTTTCAGTTTTTACTAAACCTCTTTGTGTCTGCATTTCTTTAAGCATCCTGGTCCCACTTGAGAAACTGTTGCTTACAGTGAGCCATCCTCAATAACTAGCTCGCTCTTAATTACATCAGCCCCAGACAGGAGACGTGATGTTTAACTTTGTTAACCTCAACTCTGAGTAAGATAATTTAAGAGACAAGATGTCTACGGGTCACATCCTAAACAGGAAATCAAGAGACATGTGTTTTCTTACCAGCCCAGGCTCTGAGCATCTTTGACAAGTCACACCACGCCTTTTGGTTGGCAGTGATGGCAACGTCCTACAAAGCAGCTCCTGAGGTCTTTTTATAACTTAATAGCAATGCTGTGTTTAGCACGTTACTTACCCATCCAGCATTAGGTCCTGCTCAACAGAGGAGGAGGGACAATAGCTACTGAATGGATGTATTATTTAGGAGGACTTAACTCCCCAGCTTTGCAAAGTGGACTACAAAACTTGATCCTTAAATACATCAGATAAGCCCAGGATGTCTCTCAACGTGTCTGCAAGACCACAGTGCCAGATACAAGGTAACAGCTTAATACATGTTGGTGGAAAGTAAGTAAATCTACAGGTGGGAAAAAAGGAATGTTGCCCAAAACAGCCTGACAGTTACAAGTCCTGGAGCCTGGCCACACCCACCTGTCCAGGTTTAGCTTGTGGGCCAGCATCCTCCAGTCATGACCCCTGGTCTGCGGGGCGTCCAGGCTGCTGCAGAGCTTCTGCCGGATCGGCGGAGGGATGCTGAAAGCGCTGGGGCCCGTCATGGTGGTGATGGTGCTGGCTGGATCCAGCAGAGGCAGATCGATGCCAGTAGGTTCCTGTAGTTCAGGCACAGGAACAACACAGCATTATTTCTGACGACAAAAGCAATCCTTACTGAACCACGCAACAGAATGCTGTGCTTTGAGCGGTAAGAAGAGATGAGGGCTGTTATCCTCCTTAGTAAGAACGGCTTCTTCTGAAACGGAAGTCGTGATTCTCTGTAACCTGGCTGAGAGGGAGAGGTACGTTTTGAGCTGACTTTGCACAGCCTTGGATTTATGGGGCTTCCGTAAGGGCTGGGCTAGATAGAAAGCTCAGGTGTAATTCAGGAACAGCTTTTCTAACGGGATTCTCTAGGGTGAGAGGGGAAATATCAATACTCGTAGGGGTTTCGATTTTAGGAGCGGAGAACTGTTCAAAAGGGCAGTTCTTTGAGAATGAACAGATCTGACAGTCCAGAGACTGTCTGACCCTGCGGGGAATGCCCTGGGCAAATGCTCTGGTAAATTCTCCCTCTAACCTTTCTAGGAGATAGCTCAGTTCTGCCCTTGTTGAATGAAATGGAACACGGCTCTCCCCTAAATGGTGTCAAATTAAGACTAATTTTTCAAAAGAAAATGGTGAACATAGTACCTTGCCTCAGGGCAAGTTGCTAACGGAATTCTCCAGTCGCTGGTATGCCCCTAATTTTAGTAGAGAAAACCATAAATGGCTCTTAAGATAGTTTCAGCTCATAAAACAGCACAAATGCAAAATCTGAAATTCATCTGCAGGAGAAACTCTAATCATTTTCTGATCACTTCTGCTGGTTGGAAAAGCAAAAGCAAATGTTGCCTGGGAACTATTAAAGCAATAAAAGAAAATCCACTTAATCTACTTTAAATGTCATCTCTTTTTTTTTTCAAAGCAGGTAACTCCTTGGTGTACATAATTAGTTGCTGGAGGATAAAGTAGCCACATGCAGTTCCAGCCATCAGGATAAGTCTCAAAGGTCTTGCAGAGCGTTCAGCTCAGAGGTCAGTGCCACTGTTGCCTGGAGCCTCCCATCCTTCGATAATCCTGCCCAGCGGGGGCTGCTGTCTGTGTCCCAGTGTCACTGGACGGTGTGCTCCATGTTCCACGATAGCAGCCAGGGCTCACAGTGAGACCTATGCAGTCGCACTGCAGAGTCCATCCCGGGGCAAGGGACTGCGAGGACAGAGGGTTCTTCACCTCAAAGGCACAGAGCTTAAACAACGGGGACCAGAAGAGTGACATGAAGGCACATGACTGTTGTTTTCAATGGACATGGGGATGTCTGCCCCAAGTGCCCAAGACTTAAACTGGATATAAAATAAGGTACAGGTTGGGGTGGGCAGAGGCATAGAGAAATCCGAGGTATTCCACAGCTTAGCGCCATCACCCACTTTGAAGTCCTGCTGGCTTCTTGTCCAGATGGTAACAGTAGGGCCTAGGAGACCCCCCCCCCCGATATGCCCAAATACAGTACCACTCTGCCCGTCCCTGGCTGGCAGATGAAGTCTGCAGAGGGAGGGGTCTGCTTTGTGTAATGCTGACTTGTGTCCCCAGATTTTGGCCACAATCAATCACTCCTGGCTGCTTACTGTTATCTATCCCTTCGGCCAAACTCAGCTTCCTAAAGCCCAGAGCTGACGACTCTCTTGCTCACTCATGGCTCTCCTGACCAGGCGCTGAGGGCCATTTGCACAACCTGCCTGGTCAGCTGGTCTGAGGCCCCAGGTGCTCCCAGCACCAGAAAATCTGCCCACCTTCCTCAGGTTGCCTTGACCACAACTCAGTCTCCTCAGACAGGACATTCCCTGTTTCCAGGGCCTCTCTCAAGGATGTCCCTCTGCCAGTTGTTGTGCCCTCTCCCTGCATCTCTGTCAAGTAACCCCCCTCAAAGCCTGGACCAGAAAGCATCTTCCTAAAGCAGAGCCACCCAAAGCCATCAACCTGGAGCACTTCCCACAGCTCCCACCATCTGCATCTGCCTGCTGGTTGTACTTGTGTTATGTCCTTTGACTTCCCAAGTCTCTTGGCCATGACAGTACTTTTGTCATATTCAGAACTTCTCTGATCCTCAGGGAAGTGCCTAGCACATGGAAGCTATACAGTGCATAGTTGTTAAAATGATACATTTTTTTCTTGCACAGAGGAGGAAGATAGAAGTCCACCTCCCGGAGCAGCAATGAGCTTCGTTCCAGCTGGACGTGGCGAAGGGCATGGCTCCCCTCGGGGTTCAGTGGTAAAGGGAAAGACTGGCTGACGCAGGCATGGCTCTCAGGGGAGGCCTGCTCACACCTCCACGTGGTCCCCCCTTTCCTGGTGAAGGGTCTTCAGACCCTGAGTCTCCAGCCTTGGCCACTTTGCCTGTGTATTCTGTGCGGAGGAAAGGAATCCAATCGGGCAGAATTTGTCTGTCTTATCAGGTGGCTGACAACAGCCTTGGAGGTAAAAGAAAAATACACACATACATTTACATTTCACCTGGTAATTTCAATGGCTATTAGTTCTTCCTTTACTTCCGGGTAAAAGTAGAGTTTACTCTCAACAGAATGCTTATTACAATAACTGTTTATGATATTGGTACCATCGGTCTTTGATGTTATGGTTCCCTGAGTTAAACGTGATTTTTCACTATTAACCAAACAGCTGCCATGGCTCACATTTTCAACACTCCCCAGGAGAAATCCAGTCCTTCGTGAAGTCGCTTAGAAAACTAGATTTTCCCAGGGGTGGTTTTGAACAGGTTATAGAAAACAGAAGAGGGAAACAGGATGACAAGAGCAGAGTGAGGCTCTGTACATTTTTACTACTGTTCTTTACGTGCACAAAAGTGCCGAGGGTCAGTAGTTAACAGGGTTGTAATGTCTTTGTCTATAGTTAAAACTAAATACAAGTCCTGAAGAGACTAAGTTTCTCTTTCTACATTTTTTTCTCTCGGTGATGATGAGTAGCTTCCCCATTGCTACTTCCCCATGCCCTCAAAACAACGTCTTTGATCATTTACATTTTGATATTCATTCATACCCATATTCTTAACTCTTCTAGACGGTCTCATTCTGAAATTTCATCTCTGAGACTAAAGGCTTTATATCTAGTTAAGGCACCTCTAGCCAAGGCTCCCAGAGAGGAACAACTGTCCAGCTCTTGGCATCACTACGGTCTATGTCAAGCGCAGCCTGCTTTCCTGGGGAGGGGGGCAGGTCCTCCTCCTGACTAGGGAGGCCAAGGGCCAAGTCGCTTTAGCAACTTGATGAGGGGTGGAGGGTGGCTGGGGGGCAGGGTAGCACATTCCTGGAAAGTCAGCTCATTCTTGGGAGACAGAACATTGGAACTGCACCCCCAGCCCACCTGCCAGCTTGCCGTGTGACCCTCGGAAGGAGCGCCGTCCGGAAGACAGACGCCACCGACGGAGCCTTTTCTCCAGTTAGTTATGGCTTGTCAATCACAGGGCACCCCTCCTTGGAGCTTTTGATGAGGGTCCAGGCCTCAGGGCTCTGCAGAGCCTCGCTCCCCAACATCAGCCCCCACTCATCCTCTCTGGGCTGCATGCACCACATTCAAATTCTAACAACAATGGTGGGACTCAGTGACCCAGAAGTAAAAGCCGTAGAGTGCCCCTTAATCCCCAAAGTCATCTGACTCGGGTCATCCTCTGTTAAATGTGCTCGTCTGTCCCTAGGCCTCTGAGATGACTGCTGCCAAGCTGCAAAAGAAATCATCCTTCCTCTACATTGGCACGAGAAAGAAAGTCCTTAAGCTGTGATCACACCATACAACGGTCTCTCGGCGGCGAGCCTGCTAGGGGGAGCCAGGACCGGCGCGCTTTCAGTGGCAGCTGCAGCTGGTCCACCTTTTCATCACACAGCAGACGCTCACGCTGAACAGAGAGCAAGCATCAAAGGAGCAGTCCTCCTCCTCCCCCACAACATTCCGCAGCCTTTGTTGTCCCTGGAGCTGGGTGGTTACTGAACTTTGCAGACCTGCTGGGCCTGGAAAGTGAAAACACCCTCCCAAGCCAGCAGGGGTGGTGCTGTGGGCCCGGGAGATAGGCCTGCACATCGCCAGGCCCGGCGGTTGCCATGGCGCCCTGACACCAAGATCATGCCTCGTGAATGTCACTGAGGTCTGTGACTAAAGTTGTTTAACTAAAGCGGCAGGAGGAAACGATGGCCACGCCTCGCGGGCTGTGGGAAAGGGAGGCGGCGGCATCAAGGCTGACGTGCACCCTCCTGAGTTTGCTAAGGAAGACAGTCTGTAAATACTACGTGGGGAGTGAGACATACCTAACACGGTGGTGACATTTCATTCTTCACTGTGCACGAGACAGCCGGGGAGAAGCAGTCTTTTAAATCATGCACTGTCCTGTTGTAGCCCTAAAATATGGCAGTTCTGTGCTATGTGGCACAGAGAGCAGGGCCCACCTTAGCTCCACGGGCCAGAAGGATTTCCACGGTTCTAACTCCAAGCTATGGGGTGCCAGCTAACCGCTAAGATCACGAGCCCCCCCCCCCGCTTCTTTCTATCCAGAGTAGTTTTAAACAGCAGTGATGACTTATTTCTGTAAGAGGGATGTATAAAAATTCCCACCTGAAGGGAGTGAGGGTCACCGCAAGGCAAAGCAATGTCGCGGCCACTGGGGGAAAATGGCATCTCTTCTATTTGGAGGCTGATGTATAAGAAAGCACGGAGACCAAGAGATTTCTCCTTTCAACAGAGAAAAAAGGAAAAGGAGGGGCAGGCAGCACGCACTCAGACCAAGGTGGGCGAGTTCCAAGGAGAGGCAGGGGTGCAGGAACAAGGTGCAGGGGGGAAGCTTTGGGAAAGTTACTCCATGTGCAGCTACCTCAATTAAACCTTATACCTGAAATTCAGATCTGTGTAAAAAGTTAAACCATTATCCTTAAATTCATGTCACAACATATAAAAAGACTTGTTTTTTGAAAAGGATCCTCTCATGCATTCTTTTATATATATTTTAGCTCCCTGTGTTCTTTTTCTGTTAACAAGCAGGCCCTACAGAGAGCTCTTCAGGACTTCCCCTCGAGCCTCCGCTGAGATACTTTATACCCCCCTCCTCCTCCCCGAGCTCCGCCCCTCCCCGATAGATAAAGACAGACGAGCGCCTCTCACCTCAGACACGGTGCAGCTGAGGTGCAAGATCTGCCCTTCTCCTTCCACCTGCCGCACACACAGCTTGCAGACCAGCTCCACTGTGTTCAGGCTAAATCTTTCCAGAGTGAACGTGCAGTGGAGGTTTCTCTGAGACCCACTCCAGATATGGTAGAAAGGAATTTCCTAAAACAGATGGAAGTGTTGACACAGTGCTGCCAAGTGCTTGTCTCAGTGTTTGTTACACATATCACCTCATTTAATCCTCACAACAGGCCTGGGGACAAGTACAGCCTGACCCACTTTTCAGATGAAAACCCTGAGGCTCAGAGAGGTTAAATAACTTATCCAGAGTCCCACAGGTAGTAAGCAGCAGAGTTGAGGTCATAGCCCAGGGAATCAGCTCCAGAACCCATACCCCTAAGCAAGTCTGCCACTTCTCTGTCATTGACAACAAAGCCATTGTAAGGGATTTTTTTAAGGTTTAGAAAACTCCCAAAATGAAACCTACACATCCTACTCATTGTCCATTAGAAGGAGTTCCTGCCTTGCTGTCCTGGAGAAAAGCACAGAAAGTCTAAAGGATGATGCAGGGGACGGGGAACCCAAGACTCACTCCAAGTTGGAAACCAGAGGCTGGGGCTGCCACGGAAAGTTCTTGGCCTAGAGAGCACCAAACCTCTCACGGACATGACTGTCCGTGGGTCTAGACGACCATGCAGAGCCCACCCTAGAAAAGAGTGACACGTTAAGAACAGAGGCTCTGGAGCCAAATTCAGTACAAGCGAGACTGCTTCCCCTGGCTTACTTGGTGATTTGGGGCAAGTTACTTAAGCTTTCCATGCCTCAGTTTCCTCATCTGTGGAAGAAGACTAAGGAAGAGTAGCTGAAAGGAAGGGGTTAAATGAGATCAGCCAAAGTACAAGGGAGTCTGGCAGGTGGGAGGAACCAGGCTTAGCGTGTGCTAATATCAGATGATCATTATTAGAAAAACAGCATCTTCCATTATGACTATGCAAAAGAAATTGTTCATATAAGGGGAAGATTTGTGGACTTTTATGGCAGTTGCAAAACTAGAGGAAGGAGAAAGCAAAGAGAGGGTTTTAAAGAGAAAGTTAAAGCCAGTCTCTCAGTCAAGTGCTGAGTTACACAGAAGAGCTAGCACACCCCCACACCAAAGTTCGAGACTGGTGGCGAACTAGGTTTGTTCCCCACAGTTCCGGTGTAAGGACCAGACTGAGAGTAAGAAAGCAGCTGAACGCCTTCCCCTCAGCCCCTCTAGCATGTTCACTGATTTACATCAGAAAGTCACAACCAGCTCAGCTGCAGCGCGGTGTGCGGGGTTGGATTTGCACACGTGGAGACAAGGATCCCTGCTTATCTAGGTGTGCCTGTCTCCCAGGACGGGCTCTGAGGCTGTGGAGTCCATCACACAGCCTCCTGAGAGCTCAGACTGCCCGATGGAGGGGAGGAGAATCCTGTTTTTCCCACAGGTACATACAGTGGAACCTGGGACCAGTATTTTTATGCTGTTCTCTAATAAAATCCTGACCATCGTTTATTTTTACTTGCTACTGCAGTTTCCAAGCTGAGGTTCCTTCTAAATTTTCAGTGTAAAGACACTGTCCCAGCCAGGCTGGGGCCTCATTTGTGTCACATGGGATAACCACGTTCTTCTCTTTCTCCTATGAAAGCATTTGAGACTGGCTGTTATCCATTCCATATTAACTTTTACTCAGAAAATGAACTGAAATGATGGACTTGGAAGTCTTATTTACTAAAAATAAAACAATGATAGTACACTTACCTGAAAGAGAATTAAGAAAAAAGCATTTCTTCAAGTATGTCTAGAGTGTTTTTCAAAAATCCTACACAACCCCAAACTATTTTGGCAAAGCCAGCCCTGCTGTAGGATTGCTTTCAAGGAAGGGAGTGTCTTCTCTCTGAATCGTCCTAGCCCTCTTCCTTGAGATGTCTCCAAGCCTTTGGTTCAGCTGGGGGCCTTACCTGGTACTTGGCCAGCAGCTTGCTCTTCCAGAGGGAGTGGGCAATGTCATGAATGGACAGGCGCAGGTTGTGGCTGCTGCCTTTGAAGTGAAGAGCCTTAGGTTCTTCTAGGAGCTGTCCTCCCATCTGTCTCTCGAGCTGCAGAACTTCCTGCAACGACATGCCCAAAAGCAAGTGACTGCCCTGTGTCACTTCCATGACATACGTCCCCAGTGTGCCTCCCCTGCCACACCTAGCTGCAACACATGGCGTCCCTACTGCAGCCTCAAGACCCTAAGACTCCCTCCAGCTGAGGCCCCAGTCAGTTTGCATGTGACTGAGCCCTTACTGACCATGGGCTGTTTCAGCAATCCACACCACACTATGTCGTGGGGCACGTTCAGTACAGCCTGCACCTCCTGACGGACAAGTGGAATATTTAGTCAAATACAGGGAAGTAACAAACAAAACCAAAATGGGAAGAAACATCAATAAAAGAAAAAATAGAAATGCAGGCAAATAGGTAAGTAAGTAGATTTTCAATGAACTTTTAGGGAAAGGGGCAAATAACTAAAAAAAAAATCATATCTTAGATTGGTAACACCAGCCAACAAATAAAAATTTAGAATGTGTTTTGGGTGCTTTTTCTGTTTTAGTTTTTTTTACCTACAAAAATAAAATTTTTGCTTAAAATTATCCATTACACAATTCCCAAATATCAAAAAATTAAAATATGCTCATTAGATGTCTTATTAGAGGAAAATACACTGGTAACAGTAGGAAGATTTTTTTCAGCACCAAATATTAATCTAAATAGAAACTCTGATTAAATTTTTTTAAGAAACACCTCATTTCTCAAGAACTGTGGCTGATTAAAAATTTTTCTATGTAACTTTACTTATGCTATAAAGATGTAACATGAAGATACATTCTCCATCTACTTCCATTCCTCAGTCTAGTTAATGGGAGTTAATGAAGCATTTACAACTACAGCTACAATTATCCAAACATCAGCAAACCATAAGTTATCAATGAACAAAATATCCTGAGCTTCCTATGCTGTCTGAACCATCCCTATGCATTTTGCTCTTCTTGTGCCTTAAAAGTTTCAGTGATGCAAACAGGCAGCCATTTATAACCTTTTTTGTTTTTAAAGAGTTCAGGAAAATACTAGATTTTATACAGATATAAACACAAAATATGATTTTTTTCTTTGGGGAGATCATGATTGAAAGCATGGGGTTCCATCCCACAGGTGATCATTCAGGCTATTCTACACGCAGATATTAGGAACCCCGACCTGCAAAGATAGCTGGTCATAGTGGAAAACTGAGTGGGGGTCACTGAAATGTAGTCTAGTAAGTGAAGAGCTTACCAACATCATTGATTAAATGGAAACAGCTCATTTCAAATTGCTCCTTTAGTGGTTCTGAGCGTCCATCATCTTTGAGTCATTATTTTGTGCAAAGCAAGCTGCTGAAAGGTCCTATAAGGTGCAGGGAATATGAGGGTAATGTGGACTGTGGTCTCAGACAGGGACCCCTCTAATTAGTGCATAATGGAAGAGATGAGGCAATAGCCCATTGATGGAGAGACGGGCATGGTCCAGCTGCTTGAGAGTATGGACGCTGAGCATATTCAACCTTGGTGGCTGATGAGTAGCTATTACTTGTGACAGAAGCCTGAGCCGTCAGCAGCCCCCAGCCCACCGGTCAGCCACCCCAACACATATGTCGTGTCACCATGCCCTGGCTCTGCTGTGCCTGCAGCTCAGCAGGCTCCGAGGGTCCCCAGCAGGCCACTGAGATCTGCCCAGCCCAGAGTTACACATGCTCCTCATGAAACACCCTCCCACAACACTTCACACACCATTCCTTGACAAGAATCTGGCCGTGTGGAAATGAAGACGAATAAGGAAAGGGAGGGTTAATTGCAGTTTCTTCTGCTTCAGCAGGAAGGCATAATGAGCTTATGTTGATCATGTTTGGTGTCTAGTTAGCATAATAGAGAAAGCTGATGTTCCCAGTGAACCTGGCACCTGACAAATTCTAAAGCTAAAATGATGTTTGTTTATAAGCCATTAGAAGAAAAGAAACATAATTAGAAATCTTTGCGATTACAGTCATGCCAATCAATCAGTTCTAGCTTCTTTCCAGGACACCCTAATTACCTCATCAAGACATCTAAAGAGCAATCGATAGTAATTATCTGATTACTATAGATCTTCATTATGTCCAAATTATCTCCCTGGGATGTCTAAAAGAAGACGCATTGTGTTCTGGGAGGTAATTGTACCCAACAATGTATAATCCACACCCCATTCCTACGATCAACACAAGATTGCCAGGGGCGATGGAGAACACGACCAGTTTTCTTGGCAGGGAGGACCACTGAAAGAAACCTCAACTGCCTATTGCCCATGACCTTGAAGTCAAGAAATCTAATACCATGTTTTGAGTGCAAAGTCTGGGCTGGAAACAGGCCAAGAATAAGGCTCAGTCCTTGGCTTCTATGACACTGACCTCGAAAGTCATGGTAAAGAGTTCTTCCCAGTGAGGAAAGAGACTGAGTTGGCGTAAGCCTGTTTTTTTGTTTGTTTGTTTGTTTGTTTTTGACAAAGTACCAAGTAAAGTGCCATTTTAAAGACAACGGGGCTGGAGAACCTACTGTCTCCATATTTGTAATTTCTCCATCTCTTCACCAACCAGGAGTGACACAGAGCTGCTGCACAGAGCTGGGAGGAACCTGACTTCTGTCTCCCATTCAGTTGGCCAGGACCCCCAGTGAAAGATGAACTGCCCACTAGAACGCACCCATGCTTGGAGCAGCGGTCTCTAAACATACTTGACTGCACAGTCCATCAGTCAAAAAATCGAGCATACATTTTGTTTATGTTTCATTAGAAGTTATATACCTATAATATCTCAGTATGTTACTATACTAAAAAATATGCCTAAGGTTACAAGTAGGGACTGAGATGAATAGACACAGAAGTGCTAATATTTTCCTTTTCTGCCCCAAAGGCTCACTGGCCGGGGTGGGGGTGTGAACTCCACTTTGGAGACTGCTGGCTGGGACAGCTGTCCTTCCACTTGAACTCTGGGAGAAATCAGCCCAGGAGTAAATGATTCATTCAGTAAGAAGAATCGTTACCAAACTTGAGTTTAACATTTTTTCCTGTAAAGTAGCAACTGGTATCATCACACTCAAGATGTTCAGCGTCAAGGAAACATAACAAAAAAAGACAATAACCAAAAGCACAAATTAAAAAAAAACTAAAGTGTGAATTAAAGATATTACAATCAAACAAAACAACTCCTTGGAAACTAAAATCATCTAAAACCACACGAGAGAGAGATGACTTGCTACGTATGGTGAATCCCATATGTACACTTTGCGTCAGGAAACAGAAGAGGCGTGCCCACTTGACAGGCTTTGATCCGTATTGCTATGGTTGACGTATCATAATTTCAGGTATTTTATAGCTAAGCCCACTTAAAAAATAGTGTAACATACTTTAACAAGCTTGATTTTCTGAGTTCCTTCTGCATGAAATCATCTTGGTTATTACACATATGATACAGGTAAGTCAGAGAATGTAAAAATAACAGACGTATGAATCAGTAAGATACAGCTTTACAGTTAAATGCCTTCCTCTTAACCTTCCTGGGAGTATTCATTGAACACACCCACCAGGAACTGTGTCAGTCTCTGGGACACAGACAGCTCGGTCTTGGTCCCTGCCTCAAACCACACTCATGGACCACGGGTGAGGGGAGTGCCGACATACAAGCACGTAACTCTACGTGCTCAGCTCTAAGACAGCTTCTTTTGGGACCCAGGCTGCTTTTGGGTCCCAATGGTTAGGATATTTCACATACCTTAAAAGAGGATAGGAATGAAATATACTTAAGGTCAAAAGATTAGGAAGACTTAAGAAAAATACCGTGACCTTGGAAAGAAATGCCGTAATAGGAATTAAGATCATCAGGCTCTTTCCTCTCAGAAATATAAATGTCACCTTCCCTAGCAAAGGCTGTCCTCCCTCCTGGCCACACCTCTACTGCCTTGTTCAGGCTCCAGGTTGCCTCGATGGGCGTCTGTAGACGGGGTCACTTCCCGCCTGCCTCTGTCAGTTCTACTGCCACCCCTCCAATTTCGCCTTGAAGAGACTCTCCCAGGGGTCAGTTATCAGCAGAAATGTCTCTAGCCCCTCCTTCCACGGGAACACGCACATAAACCCCACGTCACCAGGAGCCTCCTGTGCCTCAGAGCCTGGTGTCCACTGGGGTCTGAGCAATCCCGTGGGACGGCTGCTTCCCCGGTGTGGTGGGCGCCCCAGTGCAGGCTCCTCTGTGGAGCCTGTGAGGGATTGTTCCAAAGGCAGGGACAAGGGATTCCACGGTAGAAACAAGCATCTTTCACAATAACCAATTAAACCAAGACATTATCCATGCCAAGCCATTAGCCTGGGCCACTTAAGAGCCACAATAAATCCAAGCTGTTTTAAAGGTCTGTGCATACAAACGGACACCTCTGGCCTGCACTCGGAATTCTCCTGGCTCTAAGAGGGTGGGATCTGCCCTCATTAAGGCTGACAGAGCAAGGCGCACTGGAGAGCCCGACAACTCCTACCCTCTGGTTTCCCTAACCCCAATTTTTCTCTCCGCATTAACTGCCAGCTTAGACCACGCCTGCCTCTACCTTTGCCTCCTGTTCCTCCTCCTCCAGCTGCTTCCCTGTCTCACAGCTGGTGCACGCAGGAGCCCCCAGGTGATGCGGCTGCCTAGGTGACAGGACTGAGTATACGGAGATGCCTGAAAGGCATCTGCTGGAATATGACAAGTCTCTGTCCCAGTGCAAAGCAGTGACTGTGCAAGGAGCTGTGTGAGGTGCTGGGGTCCTGGCTTGGTCCTCCACACTCTGTGCTCATCCTCATCCTCCAATCCCCCTCGCCCTGGGCTCTGACCTCCCTGGTCCTGCTCAAGGACTCGCCTCCTCTCTCACACCACTGCTCTGAATTGTGCCTGCTTCTTTGAAGACACTTGTTTTAATTATTTTTAATCTTAAAAAAAATTGGGGGGAGGTAATTAGGTTTACCTTTTTTTTTTAGTAGAAGGTTCTGGGGATTGAACCCACTACCTTGTGTGCACTAAGCATGTGCCCTACCA